TAGCTAATCAGCCCAGGTGCCCATTGATGAAGGAAGCAAGACAATGTGTTATAAATAAAACACATGTAAATAAATAAAAAATTATTCAGCCAGGAAGAAAAACGAACTTGTGAGACTTGCAGGAAAATGGACAGAGCTGGAGAGCATTGTTTTTAGTGAAATGTCAGACCATAAACACAAATACAGATATTCTCTCACATTCAAAACCCAGGTTGAAAAAGACATGAACATAGAAGCGAGGGTAGGGTGGGGTAGTTGGGTATTTGGGAATCAGAGAGGAAGACAGTACATGAGGATAAAACATGATCAACATGTATGCAAATGTCATAATGAAAACATACACTGTATGCAATAAAACAATTTTAAAATGAAAAGTCATTGAACTTCTTTAATTCTTCTGGCTTCCTTCCTTTAGAGAAAGCCAATTTCATTTGGAGGCTTAATTTACATTTCAAACCTCAAGTGAAACGCTTCAGACTCAAAGGCTTTATTAGGTCAGGGCCATGGGGAGAGATCAGCAATGGTGAAAAGGTATTTTGAAATAAATATGTCTGTGGGACAGGCTGTCTTTGATCTGATAGCTAAAGATGGCCTTGAACTTCTGGTTCTCCTATCCCCACCTGATGAGTTCTATGCCACCATATCCAATTCATGTGGTATTGCGATCAAACCCAGGGCTCTATGTGTTCGGGGCCAGCACTCTGCCAAATGATCCCCACCCCTAACAGAGATCAGTCTAAGTATGGAAAACACAAGTTGAATGGTTGAAAATAGTTCAGAACTGAAATTTAAAAGTATTTTTTCCTAGGGCTGCAGCTCAGTGATAGAATGCTATCTTGCCAATGTGATACCCTGAATTTGATTCCCTGCAATGAGAGAGAGAGAGAGAGAGAGAGAGAGAGAGAGAGAGAGAGAGAGAGAGAGAGAGAGAGGTGGGGGTATTGTTAAGACAGGATCTTGACCACAAAACCCACGCTTCCTTTAAACCTGAGGTCATCCATCCCAAGTGTTAGGACTTCAGGTGTGTGTTATCATGAGTACAGTCTGAGATACTGTACTTTTATGTTAGAAATCAAGATCACAAGCTGGGTATGGTGGCACATGCCTATCTCAGCATTTGAGAAGTTGAGGCACAAAAATCAATGTCAGCTTCAGCTACATAGGAAATGAGACTAACCTGGGCTAAATAAAAACCATTGAAAGCAGGACATCATGTGACATGCCTTTAGTCTCAGGCCAGGCAGGGCTATATATAGTGAAATCCTGTTTCAAAACAAAATGTCTGAAAGGGGGGTGAAGAGATGGCCTGAAGACACAAAACTGATTCCCAGGACCCACACTGTGGAAGAAGGGATTCCTGCAAGTAAGTTGTCATCCGCCTTCCATACAAGTGCTGTGGCACTCACACCCACACATGAATACCTAAATGAAATTATAAAAGGACTCATAAGTGTACTCATCTACTTATTTTACTTCATTAACAGACTATTATCTTTGATTTCATTCATTCATTTATTTACTTTTTTGTGAGGGAGATGGGGTGGTAGATAGGGTCTTTAAATTTGAAGCAGTTCTGTGTCTCCTGGCTAGGATCTGATTTGCTTATCAGATCATTTACACTTAACACATAATTTTAAAAAGGTTAACTATACTGAAGCTTGAGTATTTTAAATAAAATATGTAAGAAAAATATTCATGAACCAAGATTTTATTAATTTATATTTTTAAGGGTTTTATTTTTTAATTGTATGTCTGTGTGTGGGTGTATGCTTATGATGAAGGTGTCCTAAAGGACCAAAGCTGTTGGGTCTCCCTGGAGCTACCCAACCTGAGTACTGGAAACCAAATTCAGGTCCTCTTGTACAGTAGCCAGTGCTCTTGACTGATGAGCCATCTCTCTAGTCCTTTATTTATACTTCTTTTCTTTTTTAAAAAGATTTATTATGTTTGCAGCATTCTGCCTGCATGCCGGAAGAGGGCACCATATCTCATCACAGATGGTTGTGAGCCACCATGTAGTTGCTGGGAACTGAATTCAGGTCCTCTGGCAGAACAGTCAGTGAGTGTTCTTAAACTCTGAGCCATCTCTCCAGCCCTTATTATACTTTTTCTTAAAAATTATTCCTTGAACTTGTTTTAAATGTAAGAGACATACATGGGTGTGGTGGCGCACACCAAGTTACCCCATAATGCAAGAGACTAAGGCAAGAGGACCATAAGTTTGAGGTCACCTTGTGATGTATAAAAAGATGCTGTCTCAAACACACACACACACACACACACACACACACACACACACACACACACACACACACTTTAAAATCTTAAATGTAAGTGGCATGTGCAGTCATAACATAGGCCCTAAGTGACAGAAACAAGACTGGGTTTATCATTTACTGCACTGTTGTGTTGGTCTTTTTTCAAGTTTACTTATGATTACAACATTTTTAAAAAATCATTTGGAAAGAAAGCATTTTATTTTTAATTTTATGTGTATGGGTGCTTTGACTGCATGTATGCCTGTGTATGCCCACAGAGGCCAGAAGAGGGTGTTGTTTCCCTTGGAACTTGAGTTACAGATGGTTGTGAGCAGTTACATGGGTGCAGGAATTGAAACCCAGATCCACTGAGCCTGCAGCAGCCATCTCTCTAGCCCCAGGAACAAACTTCAGAAATATCCGGAGGAGATAAGATCAGTAAGTGAAGTAATTAGTGTTACAACACACTAATAGTAAATTGGACCAGAGGAGTAAAGTTTTAGTTATTTTCTAAAGCTTTGTCAAAACTGAAAACAATTGTTTGGAGCTACATAATATTCTAAATATGAAAACTTAGATATGAATAACAGTTACCTAGCTATATATAAACCATGTTTGGAATTACAACTATGGATATACTACTAGACCATCATTCGAGTGAAACCATATTCCCAATAGGTTTTTTTTTTGGTTGTTGTTGTTTTGCTTAACATTTATTTTTTTTATGTATGTGGAGGCATGTATGCCTCAGTGTACATATGGTCAGAAGACAACTTTTGGGAGTCTATTTCATCAGGTGGGACCCAGGGATCAAACTAGACTCAAGCTTGGTGGCAGGTGTCCTAATCTGCTGAGTCATCTCACTGGCCCCTGGGTTCAATATTTAGGTAGAAGAAATCTGATATGTGTTACTACAAACCACTCAAAGCTATTTTCAATGTAAGCAGTGATGTGAGGTTGCATTTTTTTCTGAAGTTTTCTTAAAAAGCAAACATTATTTTCTATCTTCTGAGATCAGTTTTACTGTTCAGTTCATTAAGCCTTTATTAGCACATGCTGTGACAGGTATTCTCCTGGGTTCTAGCAGTCCTGTGTGAATAGCACCCACCGTGGTGTTGATATTTCAACTAAACCCATACTCAGGACATGGTGAGACACTTCATATACCCAGTAAAACACAAGGTAGATGTGGTCAAGTCGTTCCAGAAAGACTTCCTTTATGTGCATACTTTTGATGGGATGGATAGAGGGTTGGAAGTGAGAGATTTTGTAGATAAGACCATCCTCAAACTCATGACACTGCCTCAGCCTCTCAAGTGCTGGGATTAGATATGTGCCACCATGTCCAACTCAAAGAAATGGATGTTTTTAGTAAGAATACTTGTTTTTTTTTTTTTTTTTTTTCTGTTGTTTTTGAGATAAGGTCTTTCTCTGTAGCCAGGCTGACCTCAAAGTCCCAAGCCCCCTGGCATAGTTTCCAAAGTTGTAGCATTACAGGTATATACCACCACACTCAGCTTAAGAAAAATTAGTAAAAACTAAAAATTAGGAGAGCCAAAGGCACTGCATGTGATCAGAATGCAACTCTTCACAAACAAGTAGAGAATCAAGAGAACCCAGTTATGATGGCATAAGTAATCCCAGGTCGGTCCTTTAGCATATGGAAAAGTGGCTGGGTGGTGGTCTGCTGATCTGCTTGGAGCCCTAGTGCTAACTATCCCAACGTGCCTGTAATAATACCATTGAACAAACACAAGGCAGTGAGAGTCAAAGGGCACTTCAATGTTTAGCTGGAAGATGCTGCAAACAAGCTCACCATTTCAAGACCCTGTGATGAGTTGACAATTATCAGCTAAATGAGCAATATATTGAACAGGCAATCTTAGAGAAGCCCAAAGAATTGTGTCATTGTCCTCTCTCCATGCACCCCTCCTCTCCTTCATGCCATGCTCTTAAGAGCCTGGCTTTGTACATGGCCAAAGACCAAGAATACAGTTTGACTGGCCACGTTCACACACCTCTTTAACAGTATATTGCTGTTACCCGATTGGGGGGAAATTAATGGTGCCAGTATAACTTCTAATTTCATCATCATTAAGCACTGCATATCAGTCATCTAATAGGACACACAAGAACTGTGAGAAGGCAGCCGAAGACACAGTATGTTTCATTTTCCTTCAAAGTTGTTTTTGCTGTCCTTGGCTACTCATTAAACCCAGATGTTTCAATAAGGTACCAATTCCTTGTCAATCATGGCTACAGATGACCTGCTTTTAGTTTAAAATAGAAATAGAAGCAACAATAAAACATTTGAAGATAACAAGATGAGCTAAAGAAAAAGAAATCCATGACACATGACTGAAACACAAACACTATCCTTTGTTTGTTTTGACTCTCTAGCTCAGTCTAGCCTCGAACTTGCAATGATCCATTTATTCCAGCTTTCCCAAGTACTGTGATTACAGGCACGATGGCATGCCCAACCTCTTCTAACTCTTAAACTGGTCATTGATAATATTCTCTTCTTTACCTAAAATGACCAAGATAACTGTTCCCTGATTTATGGTGGTTTTATAAGACAATTTGTAAGTTTCATTTAGCTATTCAATATAAGAACTTGACATTTCCTATCAATTAAAGCATTTAAGGAATGACAGTATTAACTATATACATTTAGAAGTATTTCTTCCTATTAAAAAGATCCCTAACATGTTTATATACTCAAATAATTTATTACTAATATTTCACAAGTAATATTTTATTACTTTAATCACAAAATCATAATTTCTGTACAGGAATGTATAAGTGAACATTAATCAATGCATTTGCTAATTTGCTTCATAATGAGGGTAAACATACTACAGAACATAAAAGACAAGATTGTAAAATTTCTGGCCTTGCGGTGCACTTTTTAGTGCAATTATTTAAGACACAATAGTGTTCAATTCAGCAAAATATTGCAGAATGTCATGCCACAGTCCACTTAATTCAAAGAGGGTCAGGACATGCAGCTTGTAATAAAATGTCAGAGCATATGTTTTTATATATAAAAAAACCACATGTAATTCATAAAATATATAGTGGTTTATTTAGATGGTTTCTAGATGATCTCACAGAGGAATCCAATGTCTCCTTATAACATTATTGCTAGGCAATGGCTTTGGCTTCAGGTAGGAATGCCTCCCAGTACTTTATCAGCTGTGGGCGATAATAAAAAGATATTTTCATTACGTTTTTGTCATTTGAATGCATATATCCTTTTTAAAAAGTATATACATAAACAGCTAACTCTAATTTAGTCTTTTAAAACTTATACATATAACTGTATGAACTTATGGGGATCACCTTCTTTTTCTTACTTGTTTGGGAAACGGTCTCACAGTTAACTCAGACTGGCCTTAAGTTTCAGGTTTTCATGCCTGAGCCACCCCAGTGCTGGAATTATACGTGGAGGACCACATCTTGCCTGTGTGTGGGTTTTGCTTTGTTTTCAATGACTTTTTCAGATAGGTTCTCCCTACTGTGTAGAACTGTCTGGCCTTGACTTTGTGAGTACTAGGCAGGCTGAGGCAGAAGGACATCAATTTGCAGGCTACCCTGAGGTATATACAGAGACTATCTCCAAACCAGAATGTACAACTCCATGAGTAGGTGTGTGGTATGAATGCATGTGTACCACATGTACACATCACATGTGTTCTGGGAGGCCAGAGGTGTTAGATCCACTGGAACTGGATGTGACTGCTATGTAGGTGCTGGGAATTGAAACTGGGTTCCCTCTAAGAACAGGAAGTATTCTTTAACTGCTTATATACCTCTCCAGCCACTCTGTGACCTTTTAGGGCCTAGTTTTGGGAATAGTGTACCTCTGTGTATTATTCAGTACAGGCAAATAGATCTAAGACAGTTTCCAATTACTTTAGCATTTGCCCCCCCCCCTTTTTTTTCCAGCTTTTCTCAGTATACTTGTAATTTTTCCTCTAGGTTAAAAGCCTATTAATCATCTTTAAAATAACTCTAAGAGAAACCTTAGAAACTATAAGGAAAAGGAGCTTACCTGTTGCTGTGTTTGTACTAATGACTCCAAGTACTTGATGATAACAGATTTAAAATCTTTCACTCTTTCTTTCTGTTAAAGTACAATACATTAAAAAGGACATTAGTAGAAAATTAAACTTAATTTTACCACAGAGCTGTAGCAAAATTAAGGAAAGTACAGAATTAAGATACATGCCTCAAATCTTCCCACTTCTTTTCGAATTGTTTTAGAGATCTGCTCAAAATCTCTCTCTCCTTGTTGTACTTTCGCCTCCCACTAATGAAAACAAACAGAGGGAAAATGCTTATTTTTGCCTGGAAACAATATTGTACTGTCATGATTACTCATTTAATTTAGCCAAAATACCTAAAAGAACCAAGAAAGCTCAATATTAGAAAACCCAATCTAACATAATTCAGTGGTTGAGGACAGCTTGATGGGTAAAGCACTGCTGGGTAAGCATGGAAATCAGAATGAGATCTCTAGCACCCACATAGATGCTGGGTGGGCATGGCAGCTTGCCTATAGTCCTAACACCCTGCACGCAGAGACTGAAAAACCTTGGGGAAAGTTGGCTAGCTAGGCAAACCAAATCACCAAGTTCTGGTTCAAGTGAAATAGTGTGACTCAATACATAAGGTGGAGAATGATGGAGTAAGACACCTGAACATGATACTCTGGCTTCCACATGCATGTACACACATATATGTCCATGCACATACACATATGTCCACACACATTACATATGCATACATGCATCACACACACACACACACACACACACACACACACACACACACGTGCATTTTACTTCCTCGTGGTAGAAACACATGTTAGCTTAAGTTCCATTAATAGTTCACTGCTACATTTAAGATTAGGATAATCCAATATTTAATGAACTATAATTTACTGCCAGACATGGTAGCTCTTGCCTATAATTCTAACACTGAGAAAGAGGACTGTGAATTCTAGGCCGGCCTAATGTTAAACTCCATCTAACATGGTTAGATACCATCTCAAAACTAACAATGAAAGAACTACCTTACGAATGCCCATTATACATATCTGGAGGGATTTTGAGTATAAAGTTCACTATCAAATAAATTTAAAGTCCTACAGTTCAATTTCTATACATTTCAAATATACCAACAATACTAATTCCAATAATACATGTTTATCACAATTCATATGGTCATGGAAATACTTTGGCATATGACAAACACTTCAAAAAAGTTTTTGTAATGATAAAATGACTAGATTTTTTTAAAGTGGAACTATTTATTGTCTACTGAAGACTCATCAATAATCATTAAATTCAATATGGTAACAACAAAATGTGACTAGTGACCAATGAAATAGCTAAAATAAAAATTTAAGCAATGAAATGGTATTTTCCACTATGTAACCAAAACACTGGCCCATACTCTGCAAAGAGCAGGTGTACTTATTTGTAGTAATATAAAGGTTGTCCTACCTCTTCAATTTCCTTATTGAAGCATGGCAAAAAAAGTGTATAAATTATAATAAACTTATACAAATTTATTAAAATACCATATATAATACATATATATGGGGTATAATATTGCCCAGAGAACTAAATGTGGGTAAGTATACCTTTAAAACCATTTTAGACACAAAATGAGTAACCATCTGAAGCCTAAACTATTTGAAAAGAAACGTACAAAGGTTAACCTTAGATTGCTTCCTTGCATGCTTCCTCACTCATTTCACAGTTATGAGAGGTAACAGAGGGCCCTGGAGACTGGGATGATGATAAAAATGTTAAAGGCTTCTAACTAACTCACACAACTCATAAAAATTTATGGAGAAATAGCTAAGTGCTGAATGATTCAGAAAAAAATATGAAAAATTATGCATATATGAATGACATGAAAAATCTGAGTAGAGAAAGCATTCTTAATTACCTCTCTTATTTCATTTTTAGCTTGTTGAATTTTATCTGGTTTGTTTGCCACCATCATTTTTGCCTCAGTTTCACGTTTTTTGAGCAAAGTGATTTGAGCATCTTCCCATTTCTGCCAGCATTTCATCCGATGATCAAACACACCCTGTAAGTCAATGGCATAAGGCTATTAAGCAACAGTGTAAAAATACTTTCATTACAATGTAAGTATATACTAAAATCTATAAAGAAAATGAAAATATGCATGCCAATAGCAATTTCACTAGCTTTTAGGATTTTAAATGTGGCTTGCAATAAGATGTAAAAGAGTTGTATGGCCTAAAAAAGATATATTTAATGAAAAAAACCTGATATACATTAGAAGTTCTTCTATTGAACAATACACAGAAAAGATTTAAATATTGAAAAACCAGAAACTGAAAACATAAAATGGGCCAGGCCAGCCCTACCCCTGTAATCCCAGTACCATGAAACAGAGGGAGAAGGACTGTGGCTAAGTTTGTGACCAGCTTGGTTTATATGGTGAGTTCTAAACAAGCCAGGTCTACACAGTGAGACATAGTCTCTCTCTCTCTCTCTCTCTCTCTCTCTCTCTCTCTCTCTCACACACACACACACACACACACACACACACACACACACACACACACACACGAGAGGAGGGGAGATCTCCAGTAACAGGAAGTGAAGTACAAATGTCATAGATGACTAATAGAAAAAAAAGCAAACAATACATAGCAAAGGTAAGGCCTAATAAAACGGGGAAGATGTAAGTCCTGCACATGGTGAAAAGGGACAAAGAATACAACCAGAAGGCAGAACTAAATGAAGAAACTGACAGAGGCTCTACCACAACAAGTCAACCAAATCCACACCTATTTTCAAGGGGTAGTCAGAGTAAGGCAAGTGAATGAAGAAGTGAGTGAGAGCAACTAGGGTGTGAACAAAAAGAAATGGGACAAGATGGGGCAGGATGGGAAAACCCACTATGAATTCTTTTTCTAGCTTGACACTGGATGTTAACATAATTATAAATATTTACTAACTCAGCAAATGAGCCAAATATTAACAAACTAGATGAATCAAAAGGCACTATACCAGAGATATTTTAATTTTAAAGCATATTTTAATCAAGACGCAACAAATAGTTGGGTATTGTGGTTCATGCCTGTAATGCCAATAACTGGTAAGAATCATGAATTCAAGGCTACCTTAGCCTTGATCCTACCTCAGAAAAACAAAACAACAGAACATCAGGGACTGGGCCCTAAAGAAGCACAAATCTTACTCAGTTCAAGCCTGATAAGCCTGACTTTGTATCTAGGAAGTGCCTCTTTTGTACAGTACAATTTGTTTATTTGTTTTTTTTTTTTTTTTTTTTTTTTTTTGAGACACAGTTTCTCTGTTTTGCTCTTGCTGTCCTGAAACTCACTCTGTAGACCAGGCTAGCCTTGAATTCACAAAGATCCACTTTCCTCTGCCTACTGAGTGCTGGGATTAAAGGCATGTGCCTCCACTGCCTGGAAAAATCAATAAGTCTTAAAAATATAAAAAAGAAACACAAAGAAGGGAAGAAGTAAGGTAGCAATCTGACTGTAAACAGAAAAGCCATCATTAGGCAGACAAAAGGAACATATGGTAGTTGAATAAAATAATTCTACTTTTTTTGTCAAAACACCTTATAAAATTAAGCTTGAATTGCTTGAATATGCCATGGCTTTTAGTTCCAGCACTATTTAAGCAGATGTAATGACACACACTTGTAATCACAACAGGAGGCAGGAAGCTTTCAACCATGGTTATATGGTTTCTAGGCAAGCCTGATATGTCTCAAACCCCAAAAATAAATAAATGACATATCTATGAATGTTTATCTGGAGAGTGCTCTAAAACGGACTGAGTGTAAGATGCAGGCCAAGAACAGTATGCTCCTCTTTGAGAAAGAGAGAAGAGAGGGACCTGGGGGATGTACTGACAAAAGGACAAAACAAGTAGGGATTGGAATAAAAATTAGTGTCATGTACATGTGTAGCTAGTCTTGGCTTCGGAGAGGGCAATGTGCCCTTTTGGTTATCTGAATAGTGCTGTGTGTCTAACTCTTGCCTGTCACTGGTTTTTATGACTCTGATCTCTTACCCTCCCTCAGGCAGCTGACCTGATCAACATTTTAGTAGAAGCTGACCTGAAGAGCTTTTCTGTCTTCACAAAACCTAACCACAGATCTGTGACTCTCTTAGTCTACCTTCAGCACTTCTCAGCAGTCCTTTGATACATTAAATGGAAAAGAGTTTTTGTATGAATAAAAAATTTTTTCATATAAATTTAGGTACTCCTGGATTAAACAAAGTTAAGTAACTCTTCCCATGCTCTGCTGATTGTGGCACATCTTTTGATGCCAGTATTCTCTAGAACATTTTGGAAAACATGGATGTAACTAATTTCAAAAAATGTAAAAACCTAACAAGATTTCAGGCACGGGAAGAAAGCTTTTTCCCTAGGGGTCACTACAGGCAGGCCTACCCTGGGAAGCTCTTCTCAGCATATTCTCAAAGACACTGTTAGCTTCCATCTTTGATCCACAGGTGTCTTTTCTTAAGCATTTTTATTTTGTTGCTAAAGATGTAACATTAACTTCTGTACATGTGATATGTGTGTAGGAGCATCTGTGGAGGCCAGAAGAGGGAAGGCATCTGATCCCTGAAGCTGGGTGTGAGACAGGCAGCTGTGAACCATCCAGTATAGGTGCTGCTAGGCATTGAACTCTGTTCCCCTGGAAGTGCTCTTAACTGAGAACCATCTCTCCAGCCCCCCTTTTGGGGGATTTGTTTGTTTTAAATAACAGCTCTTACATCTCTTTAAAGATAGTCAACACATGATGAGACAGAAATAGGAATCACCATCTGGTGGTGCATGCTTGTAATCTGAGTACACAGGAGGTCAAGTCAGAAGAATCCTGAGTTCAAGGCCAGCCTTGGCTATATAATACTCTCACAAACAACAATAGAATAATACCAGGTCTTGAAAACCAGGCCAAGATGAGGTTAAAAATAAAAGCTGCTAGGCTGGAGAGATGGCTTAGCAGTTAAGAGCACTAGCTGATCTTCCAGAGGACCCAGGTTCAATTCCTAGCACACATATGGCATCTATAGTTCCAGGAGAGCTGACAACTTCATATTAATGCACATAAAATAAAGTTAAAAATATATTTTAAAAAACGATAAAAGTAAAAACTGCCTAATACAATAAAGAATGCACTAAAACTGTAACAGCTCTAAACAAAAGAAAAAACTCACTGGAAGCATAAGAGGTTATATAGGTGTATATAAATTCGGTAATTTTTGTCAACACTAACAAAGCACTGTTTGGAAGTGTTGAATCCTCAAAAGCTAGCTCACAAAACATCAATAGATAGGCAGTGTGCCAAGAAAGGAGAGGAAGGTGGACTCATTAGCTCTATCAATGTTTGAAGTCAAGGTAAAGCAGAGGGTAAATAGCTGGATCTTCCTCATTACAACTTTCACCCATAACAGTAACTTAATGACACTGTGACATCACAAAATATCTTCTGAAAAATGCTGACAGACTGATAGCTAGTTTGAGAGTATGAATACTGAAGGCATTTGCAGAACACCAATTTGTAACTAGATTCCTTCTGCAACTATTCAGAAATAGGTTTCTTTAAAATCTAGTATTATATAATATAACCTGTGGTCTTAGTGTCATTTCATCTACAAATATGTGACTACACATTTGAGTGTACAGTCAGAAAATCCGTTTATTATCCAAATTCATGCTAAAGACCTCCTGAACCATTGAACCATTAAGGTAACCATCGTTCCTATTTCTCCTCCCCCCTCCCTACCTGCAGACCATGCTGGTCTTGAACTCATAGGGATTGGCCAGCCTCTGATTAAAGGCATCACCACAGCTTGGCTTTTATCCTGTTTTATTTCTTACTGTTTAGCAAGCTTTACTAACAAGAACAGAACCGATAGGCAACTTCAGTTACTGCTAGGATGAGCAAATAAATGTATGTAGTTACAATTTTTAATATGAATATGAAAATAAATGCATACTGTTTTTACTTCTTTTTTGGCAGTCCTTAGACTTCTTATATTTTTAGTTCTGAGCCTAGCCTTTAATGGCTGAACCATCTCTCCAGCACCCACCCTCCTCTTTTCCTTCAAAATTATTGGTGTTTTGCTTACATGTATGTCTATGTGAGGGTATCAGAAACTTTGGAACTGGAGTTACAGGCAGGTGTGAGCTGCCACGTGGATGCTGGGAATTGAACTCAGGTCTTCTGGAAGAGCAGCCAGTATTCAAAAACTGAGCCATCTCTCCAGCTGTCCGTCCTTAAGACTTCCAGTTTTGGCTTTGTTTGTTTGTTTTATGAGACAGAGTCTCTCTGTGGCTTTGGAGGCTGTCTTGGAACTAGCTCTTGTAGACCAGGCTGGTCACAAACTCACAGAGATCCGCCTGACTCTGCCTCCCGAGTACATGCGCCACCACCGCCTGGCCAGTTCATAGACTTCTTAAAAACTGTTTTATTGTACTATACATGTCATAAGAGAAGAAAATGCTATTTACAAGTACTCACCTAAGTTATTTCTTATGTAGTAGTGCAGTAGGATTTGATCACTTAAATCTGTATGTAGGAGGAAACCATGGCGGGGTGCCTGATTTTTTCCTACCCCCATGGGTATGAGTATGTATGTATGTGTTTTGCTATATAATCCAGATTGGCCTAGAATTTGCTATGTAAACCAGGCTGGCCCTGAACATATGATCCTCCTGCATCTGCTACCCAGGTGGTAGTATTACAGACCATTCTTATTGTGTCTAGTCTAAAATTCTAAAGCAAATGGTTTAAGCGAAAAGAATGTTAAGAAAGCTTGTAAAACAGGGCTTACTTTTACTGCAGCAATGAGCCGAATGTAATCACTAAGAAGTTCTGAGAACATGTAAAAGTCCGCAAAAGCTTGTTCTTGATGTAACTGGTCTATCTTCTCCTCAACCTCTGCAAGCTGAGACAAAGCTCTAGACAGGGCAGTGTGGTCCTCAGAGTTACCTAGCATGGCAGCACTCTTAGCGAAGGCAGCTGTGTTGGCTGAAAGCTCTGAAATTTAACAAAACAAAAACAAACAAACAAAAAAACAACAAAAATCACTTAGTATTTGTTAGTAAAATTTTAATAGTATACTCATTCTCTCTACTTTTATTTATTAGAATTTAGTAATACCTTAAATTAATATGAGACAGTTAATAGGAGAAGCTCCTTTGCTGTATGGAATCATGGCTGCAGAGCCCTAACTCAGCATGAACAAGGGCCTGTGTTTACATCCAATCCCAGCACAGCTCCACAGACCTCCAAAGAGATCACAGCTCATGTTTTCAGATGGTGAACTGTGTCTAAATAATTCAACAGCCTTCCTTCCCTTTTTTACCCCAAAGTGTTCATTTAATCTCTTTTGCAGTCTATTAAAGACCTAAGTATGTTTCTAATATAAGAAGCATGAAGATAAAAATTAAAGGGGCTGGAGAGATGGTTCCATGGTTAGAGTCTATACTGCTGTTCTGGAGAGCCCAAGCTGTAAACCCACACACGGGTACACACATGTACATATAATTAAGTATAATACTTTTTAAAAGATCACAATTAATTTATAATATACTCTTTGGCATTTAAACATTTGTCATTGAAAATAACATCTCAATTTTTCATGAAAATATTATCTACCCATAAAGAAAAACTAGATAAACTTGTAAATACACAATTTATATCAAATTAAGTCATTTTTGTTTGTTTGTGTAATGATGCTAAGAATTAGATTCTTTGAATCTTTTTTTTTTTTTTTTTTTTTAAGACAAGAGCTGGCCTGGAACTCATTATTTAGTCCAGGCTGGCCTCAAACACTTAATTTCTCCAATCAGAATTTTTAGGTTATTTTTAATATAGCCAGTTCAAGTACTTCAAACGAAGAAAACTTAGGTGTTTAAAGGCTACTAACAATGACTAAGAATTATACTTTATGAAAAATGTGTCATTACTCTATCATATGGGTGCTGGAGAAATGGCTCCGAAGTTAAGAGCACTGGCTGCTCTTCCAGAGGACCCAGGTTCAATTCCCAGCACCCACATGGCAGCTCAAAACTGTCTATAACTGCAGTTCCAGGAGATCTGGCACCCTCACACAAGCAAACATGTAGGCAAAACACCAATGCACATAAAATAAAAATAAATTTTATTACTGTTACCTTAATGAAATCTATTAAACATCACATAGTATCTTAGAAAACCATTACGAAGAGTCTTGAACACTAAAATTACCCCACCTCCAAAGTTAAAGCAAAACAAAAAACAAAAATCCAACCCAAAACCTTGTGAATTAAAAAAAAAAATTACAACTCAAAATTTCCAGCAACTTTTTATTCCTCCCAAACCTAGTTTTAAATAACATGGTTTGGACTTTGTAATATTTTTCTGTCTCTCTAGCCCAAGCTGGCCCTTCGCTTCACATATAGAGGCTGACCCTGAATCCCTGACTGCCGGGTTTATGTGGTGCTGGAGCTCAAACATGGGGCCTTCTGTTTGTTCACCAACAACTACCAAGTAGGGGACATATCCAGCCCCTAAATACTTGGAAACATAAGCAAAAAATGTGTTCAGAGTTTTTCAAGAAATAGAGGCATAATACAAATACCTTCAAGAAAAGCTATAGATATTAATTTTTAATCCCCCATGGTTCAGAGAATTGAAATCAGGGTCTAATGTATGCTAGACAAGCACTCTACCACTGAGTTAAAACTGAGCCTTATATACAAATTTTAAAATCTCAAATTATAATCAGTTACTTATCTGTTAAATTATAAATGTATCAAGAGTTGACCAGATGAGTAATAATTCTAAGGTTGAAATGAAAAGTTTTATAAGCTTTTGGTTTTTCTAATTTTAAACTAGAAATTAGCTCAAAGTATAGCAGAAAGTTTTGACTATATTGAAACAGTATTCTCCTTCTGTCTTGTGACAGTTTCACTATGTACTCTGGGCTAGTTTCAAATGCACGGCAGCTCTGCTTCAGCCTCTTAGTGCATCACACACAACCCAAACTATTCTCTACAACTACTGCCTTATCGCCCCATGGCCACTGCAGAGGGTCCACCCTAACAAGGCAAACAAACCTTTCCTATGACAGACCAAGGCTTCAACACTGGCATGAAGTTTTCGAAGTTGCTGGTCAAGATTTTCAAATTGTTGCTGCTTTTCTTCAAACCACTAAGGAAAAAAAAAAAAAAATGAGAAATGGAGCTAATTTAGGAAAAAACGAACCATTGTAAATTAGGTTACCAATAGCAAGCTACCTTCCTTGGTTTAGAACAGCAAATTAGCCATATATAACCATGGTGGTCAACTGATGTAGCTGAGAACTGAACTCAATAAGCAAATTAATATCCTATTTTCTGCTTGTACAGCTTTAAAATGCAATTGTTGGGCTCATTAATTCATTTCATTATTCAAGTCGAAAAATCAGCTCTTACAGCATCCGATTCATTCATCTTGATTGTCATTTTGTTGACAGCGTCGGCAGCCTTGTTCACCATCCTCAATATTCCTGCTCCACTTAGAGCCTGTGTATTAACTGCTCTCGGCAGCTGGAATTGAATGACAAATAAGGGCAAACAAACCGGTTAAAAGCCTAGAGATTTAACTGGGCACAAAAGGGATCCCCCTCCTAAAATAAAGAAAAGAGAGGGAAGAAAAGAGAAAAGAGGCTGTATTTTCTTCATGCTCATACATTTCAACAGTGAGATCTAATTTCTCAAATGCACTACTTGTACATTCTCAAAGGAAAACTTAAAAAATAGACTTTCCATTTGCTTTTCTTCTGCACGTTTACATTTAGATAGAACAAACGTCAAAATACATTAAGAAATTGCTAAGCTTTACTACTGGCCACCTGTCTTTGAGCACAAACAAGCTGCTGGTGAGCAAAGACGCTCCTGAAGAAACCCCCCCCCCTCCCCGCTCCCATGCTCTGTTAGGGCTATGCTTGTGAGTTTCTAGAAAATTCTGAGACTCAGGTAACGCCTTTTTAAAAATCTGCAGCAGTAACAATCAGGGCAGCAACAGCAAAATTATTTATATTTATAATCATTTGATTAAATCCAGTTCAAACTTTTTAAGAAAGGAACTATCACTAACTGAAGGTGTTTGATAGTAATTTAGTTCAGCAGAATCCAAAGTCCCAACACACAGTCTTACTGTGTTCACTGAACTAATCATTTACTGAATAGCTACTCTTGTATTAGTTATGACAAAGGTGAGTGAGTCAATTTAAAGGAGAGATACCTCTGAGCTTTCCAAGAACTGCCTTAAGTCAGGATCCTGTAGCAAGGTCGGATGCTTTACTGTTCTCTGAAGATACCTATATATTTAAGAGTTGAATTGGATCCAATTTTAGTACAGTTTTAAACTGTTTCAACAAATGAATAAACATAACTAGGTAAAAAGTATCCTCAATCTATCTCTTACTAGTCTGCACTTACTATTTAGTTAGAATTTTATATAAATTGAATAGGGTACAGTGGTACACACCTTAATCCCAGCACTTAGGAGGCAGAGGCAAGCGGATCGCTGTGAGTTTGAGGCCAGACTAGTCTAACATAGCAAGTTCTAGACCAGCTAGGTCTATATGTGAGATCCAATCTCATTTTTTAAAAAAAATACTGTGTATTATGTATACGTCCAAGTGCCTACATGTGCCACATACATGCCTGGTGGCCATGCTGGACTCAGAGGCAGTTGTGATACACCATGTGAGTACTAGGAACAAACCCACATCCTCCACAAGTGCATCGAGTACTCTTAACCTTTGAGCTATCTCTCTAGCTCCTTTGCTCACCTTTTGAAAGTGGGGACAAAATAATTTATTTACTTCTCACTGTGACATTTGAGTTACAAAAGGATGTATATGAGCTTGTGTAACAATTTGCCTTTGGGAAAAGTTAATATGTTTCCAGCTACAATTTTAGAGAAGTTAACATGACTCTCTATGTCTACTTTCTTGTCATCAAGTGTAATTACTACTATCTCCAAATCAGGAAATTGCCTATCGATAATTCTGCTTGGTGGTAAATTTAAATAACAATCAGCTTTTGGTTCTTGGTTCTGATTTGATGAAGAGTAAATTTTCTTCATAGTTTCCTCTTTTTGGGGGAGACAAATTCTCATTAAGTAGTCCAGGCTGGTCTATTTGCTATCTTCCTGTGTTAGTTCCCAAGGGCTAGAGTTATAGGTATATACTATTATGCATAGCAATTTCTCTATTTTTTAAGGTTTTATTTAATAACTAACCCAATTTTAGTCATTCTCTTCCTAGAAAAGCCTATATTTGCTTGCCATCCATAGTACATTAGCAATCATGATTTCACAGAAATGAAAAAGGTTAACCAGTTGATTTTCACTTATCTAATCCAATTTTGTTACACATGTTTTGCTCCAGGCTAGATGATGACTCAGAAGTTAAAAGAGCACTGGCTGCTCTTCCAGAGGACCTGGGTTCAATTCCTAGCACCCACATGGCAGCTGACAACTGTCTGTGTCTCCAGTTATAGGAGATCCAACACTCTCTTCTGGCCTCTGTAGGTACCAGGTACACACAGAACTGCATGTAGGCAAAACATCCATATATAGTTAAAATAAAGTTTCCCTATATTATAGTAATGTTTCTATTTTATTTCAAAATCTTCAGGGCTTGCTGGCCAGGCACTCCAGGATCAGTGAGAGACCCTGTCTCAAAAAATTAAGGTAGAGTGTGGTTTAGGAAGATACCTGATATCTCAACCTCTAAACAGACACACACACACACACACACACACACACACACACACACACACACACACACACACACACACACACACACACAGAGTTATAAAACATGCTTAGAGTTGGGCCTGGAGAGATACCTCAGCAATTAAGAGCACTGGTTGCTTTTCCAAAGGAGCTGGGTCAATTCCTAGCACACACACTGTAGCTCACAACCACCTGGAACTCCAGCTCCAGAGTATCTAATACTCTCTTCTGACATCAGCTAGTACTACACACACACACACATATGATGTACAAACATACGTGCAGGCAAAACACCCGTATACATTACAAATAAAATTTAAATTAATTAGTTTAAAACATAAAATAAGAAGGCTTGGAGTTAAAGTTTTAAATGTTATTTTTATATAAGACTCTGACTCACAATTTTAACAACAAAATTATCTTAATACTATTGATAAAGTTATTCAATTTAGACTCACACTACATGAAGCAGTCTGTATAGATTGTTGATCTCAGTGCCGGAAAACAGTAGGTGCTCACGTACAATGACAAGACATGCAGCACTCAATCTCTACAAAGCATTCCAGCCAAGTGTGGCAGCAAGTGTAATTAATCTGCAGCATTTTGAAAGTGGCCAAATGGCCAGCCTGGCCTACATAGTGAGACCCTGCTTCAAAAAGAAAAGAAAGTGGCAAACATTCTATATTTTAAGCCTAAATAAAAATACCTACCACTACTTACACTCTAAAACAACTTTCCAAAGCACATTTCATAGTTTACAAGCCTCAAACAGTAATAAAAGGACTAATCTATAATTAGGAAAGTTTGAGACATATCATATATGTACTTTCTTCTTTTAAAAAAAAGTCATCTGGGGAGTAGGGAACACATGTGCAAATGTCAGAGGACAAGGACAACTTGCTGGAGTCAGTTTTATCCTTCTATCATGTGAATTCTGAAGACCAATCTCAGGTTGTCAGGCTTGGTGGCTATTAGCTTTACCTGCAGAGCCATCTCACCAGCCCACTATTCCTTTAAGAATCACTCAATAGTATTAAACTGACACTGCAATATAATACATAAGTCTTAGGAGACTTAATTGTTTTGTTTGTTTTTAGAATAGGGTCTCATTATATAGCTTCGGCTGATCTGTAATTCGATATGTAGTCTAGGCTATCCTTGAACTCAGAGATCCACCTGGCTTAGCTTCCGGAGGGCTGGGATTAAACACACTTGGCAAGATTTAACTTTTTTTACCTTGCTAAATTCTGTTACCAAAATTCAGTTGACAGTGGATTTCATTTTTATCCTGGCACATGAAAGTTTTCTGAGGAATTAATTTCAGGAAATAATATTTGAGAAAAATACATAAAACTTTTTTCTTAAGGGCTATAGGGAAGTAAATAAGTAAATAAAAGATAGTGCCTTTTACAATGTTAAAATTAAGAACAAGGTTTTAAACAATGAATATAAACACAGGAAAACTTAGGGAGAGCATAGTGAAACCCAAGTTCAAGGGAAAAGAAAAAATAAGATACAAACAGAAAAAGAATATGATACAAAAACAAACTGAAGAAAGAAAACCAGGCAATCTCACAAAAAGAAGTGAGTATAAAAGCCAACTGAAGTTGATGCTAGCTAGCACCACACTCCTAAGAGGTGGCCAGCAGCAACTCAGATCTGCTTTAAGCAGAATGAGTTGAAAAGAATCATTTGGGCTTTCCAGTTTCTACTTGCATGTGAAGACAAAACAAAGATGGCTACATAAAATCTTTAAGATGTATAGTTAAAATCCTTCATGGAATTTACAGTTGTTATCAGAAGACAGATGATGTGCTATAAACATAACAATCATATAAATCACATAATATATAATATGGGACAAAGTGGCAAGTCCTGTGAGAAAAGAATGGGGTCCCCCCACACATGGGCACCAAGTACTTAAGATGTGGTCATGTCAATTTAGAGAGGTTACAGTGAAGCCAGGTGTCAGAACAGGCTTTTCTTGAACATTTAAACTTGAAAGGATAATGAGATTTAGGTGGGTAAAAGTTAGAAATGCCTGAAATTCAAAACAAAAGGGTCATTGTTGCTCAGAGCAAAGTGGGTGACAAAGAGACATGGAAAATACAGGTAACACAATAATGAACAGTGCAGGTCAGGTAGGGATTTGCAATCATTGTGAAGAGCTTTGGTTTTGCTGACATTAGATTGTGCAATCTGCCATAGGGTGGTTTTGTTTGTTGTGAAACCAACCGTCTCATGTAGGCAGGCTGGCCTCAAATTCTGTACCTGAGAGTGACCTTGTACTCTTGATCTCTCTCTACCTCCCAGGTGCAGTGACTATAGGCTTTTGAAACTACATCCAGCCCAAGTTGTGTTTCTATACATGCAGTATTAAAAAAAAAAAAAAAAGGAAAAAAAGGAAAAGAAAGAATTGTGTCAAGGATGGAATCAGGGAGCCCATTAGGAGAATCTGTAGCTAATTGTCTCTGGACTGTAGCCACTAGACTTGAGTCCAGGCTTCAGAAACAAGCAACAGAACTTCCTGGTAAATCAGATCACCCTGGGCAGTGACTGACCTCCAAATTCCTTGATGTTGGAGAGTAGGATTAATCATCTTAACTGTTTGGGTCTTGAAAATGAAGTTTTTTTAGGTGCTTGAAATGAACACTGATCTTAACCAATTCATTTAAAGATAACTATACACTGAAGTTACTTCTTGACCAAGGTCACATAAATATTGCAGTACAGGGCAGATTTCAAATGCAAAGTCATTCTAAATCAAACCTCTTTGAATGTCTTTGTGTCTGTCTGGCTTAAGATATACTTGCTTGCCTTTTGCCCCCACCCCCAAACCCAATTTTTTCCATACAGCCTAGGCTGGCATCAAAGATGTAGCAATCCTCCTGCCTCACTCAGACTCCCAAGTAGAATTACAAATATGAATGCCCACCTATTATACTCTTAATGAAAGTATTCTCTGCTTACTTTCCTGAATATGACAGAAGGGATGTTTGGATACTTAACTACTTTCTCTTTCTAATTTTATAAAAAAAGTTTTGTTATTGTGATTTTAGTCAAGCATACAAGTGTATGACAAACACATGGAGATGAGAGGACCACTTTGTAGAACTGGTTCTCTCAGTCCACATTTATGTGGGTTCCAAAGGACTGAACTCGGATTGCAAGGCTTACATAGCAAGCACCTTTATCTGCTGAGCCATCTCACTGGTCCAGGCAAAACAGTTAAACTGAAATCACTTCCACTTCATCTATTCTATAAATCAATTAATTACACTTAAGGTAGCATTCAACAAGTCACATTTATCAGTAAAGAAAGTGACTGCATGTACAAAGGGGATGAATTAGGGCAAAGTATGACAACTCATGAAATGACATGATACCTACTTTGTATGCTAATTTAGGAATTAATTTTCAGATAGTCAAATGAGACTTTTAAGGGACTACTGAAATTAAAAGACACATGAAGCTACCTTAATGGACTATATGATACAGTCAAACTAGAAGGACACTAAAGCATCAAATTCCACGTTGGCACAACAAATCATAATGTCTAAGCCAGCATGCCAAACTTTTCAAACTTCCTCATAGGGTGTAGGGGCACACACCTTTGACACTAGTTAGCACTTGGGAAGTAGAGGCAGGCAGATCTCTGAGTTCAGGACTTGACCTGGTCTATAGAGTACTAAGATAGACAAAGCTACAGAGACTCTGAAAAAACAAAAAAAAACTAACTAAAAGAAAAATAAAAAACAAAAGAAAAACCCAACTTACTCATAGGAAAATCAGATTAAAATATCTCTCCAAGGGTGTGGTTATAATTTCAGAATTAAGAAAAGCAAGAAAGAGTATCACAGGCCTTTATTCTTTATTCTTCCTGTGACTTCTCTTACAATGCAATCAATTCCAGTACTTACTTAAACTTCTGATATAATTTAGATTGTTTTGAGTAACTAGATTCTCTCCGAAATAATCCCACTTTTCAGACTTTCAAATTTAAAATTAGTAAACTACATATTCTTTAGATATTAAATTTATTTATTTTTAAACTTTCAAAAGTATAATTTATACTGGGCAGTGGTAGTGCATGCCTTTAATCTCAGCAATCAGGAGGCAGATCTCTCTGAGTTCGAGGCCAGCCTGGTCTACAGAGTAAGATCCAGGACTACTTGAAAAGACCCTGTCTCAAAAAAAAAAAAAAAAAAAGAATTGTACTTATTTGTGCTTTATGTTTTGTCTGCCTGTATGTTTGTGCACTTTGTGCATGTAGTGCTCACAGAGGTCAAAAGAAGGCATCTGATCCCCTGGAACTGGAGTTAGAGTGATTATGAGATGCTGGAAATTGAATGGGGGTCCTATAGAAGAACAGTCAGTGCTCTTAGCTGCTGGGGTTCCTCCTGCTCTCTTCAGCTTAAAAAAAAAAAAAGTTTAACCTGACTTTATTAAGGAATTTTCTTAAATTGTGAAAAATTTATTACTGAAGCAAAGTTGTAAGAATTAATTTGTACCACAAGACACACACACACACACACACACACACACACACACACATTCCTAAAAGCCCATTCTATCTACCTTAGCTACTGATTTCAAGGCCGAAGGTAAAATGAGAAGCAGATAAAATTAACTATGCCATTAGAAACTGTAAAGCTTCAGTGACCAGGATCATGCATGGTTCACACCTTTAATCCTAGTATTTGGAAGGCAGAGACAGGCCAACCTGGTCTACACAGTGAGTTCCAGACAAGCCAAGAGTACACAGTCAGACCCTATCTCCAAAAAAGCAAACAAAAAGGCTTGTTGTACTATAGAGTTGACTTCTAATAGCCTCACTTTTATTTTCACATTTCAGCAAAATAAGGAAAAACTATGTGTTAAGAAACTGGAGTGGGAATGTTCTAGTGTGCCATTAAAATGGTAAGCTTTAGGCCAGGTGTGGCAGTACATGCCTTTGATCCTAGTAGTGTAGGAGGCAAAGACTGATCTCTATGCTCAAGGCTAACCAGGACTACACAGTGAGACCTTGTCTCAAAAAGGAAAGGAAAAAAGCAAGTCTTTAAATCTATAGGACATGTATAATTATATACTCTAAAGGAAAATATAGCATATTATAATTAGCCTTTAATTATATAATGAATAAGCAAGGAGCAACATCACTGTCACTAAAGTCAAAATCAAGTACACAAAACTGACAGCGCACATGCATGCAGTTTTCACTGTTTAACAGTGCTTACACCAAATAATTATTCAAACAAAAATTAACTTAGGGCTAGAGATGGCTCAGTAATTATAAAAAAGTTGTACTTTGAGAAGATTCAGAACCCACATGGTGGTTTACAACCACGTGTAGCTCCAGTCTCAGGAGATCCAATCCACTCTTCTGAACTCTACAGGTACCAAGTTTCCATGTAGTGCATAATTTACAATCAGGTAAAACACTCATATATGTATGTATGTATGTATGTATGTATGTATGTATAAATGCACATATGTGTGTATATATATATATATATCATTTAAAGATTTAATTTAGATAAACTATAACTAAATTATTAGGTAAGATAGGTAAATATGGCACAATTAAAATAGTAGATATGGTGTAACTTTCTAAGCATCTAAATAATTTATACCCACTGTATTTGGAAAGGGGCTGGGCTGAAGGTATGGTTCAAGGCCTCAGAAATGTTATATAAGCATTTCACCATAGAGGACCAGTTTCCTCCCTGTTTTGCTTTTGTGTTTTGAGACTAGGTCTTTTTACGTAGGCCAGGGCATGCCATGGCTAAAAGTCCTTCTGCCAGTTTATTGACTACCAGGGTTGCAGGAATGTACACCACACACTGCTTCTCCAGACATTTTACCAGAGGTTTCTGAAGCACAGTTTCCATGTTTTCCACTTACAACTATAGTCATTTTTGGGCTCTTGGTGACTATGATATGGTCCTAGCATTAATTAATTCATTGCTTTAATGTCCTGCTTATAACATGACCTTGAAATGTGTCATGCTATTAGACAGAAGCTGAGACTAATAAAGCATGGCAGCAGAGGTGTTGTGACTTGGAATTACCTCTCCAGCGCCGCTCTTCGTTTTTCTACAAACTCAGTGGACGATGAGTCTTCTTTACCTACTTTGACTTTGGTCATACCTGTGAAGAAGTTGGATGAAATTCATAAGAATTTTAGATTATTAGGAAACAGATCATCATAATATCTTCATAATCAAAATATACTTTTAACTTTATAGTAATGCCTTATGTTGGTAACTGGGATCTTATTTAAAGAGAAACCTACTTTGAAGAATGACATCTCATGATGTGTTAATACCACTAATGAATAAATATTTACAGCAGGAACATGTAAAAAAAAAAAGTATAACTTGAGCTGTATTTGTGGGTTTTGAACTCATACTGTAAATTTATATAAAAGCTTACATAAAAATTTCATTATTTGTGGTACTTCACACTTTAAAAACAGTAATGCTTTGATATTTCAAGACTATGTTCTCCCTAGACCTGGGCTTGAACCCAAGGCCTTATGAATGCTAGATAAGTAAATACTCTACCTTTGACCTAGATCCTCAGCTTCATTTCTGCCCCTCCCCCCATTTCTTTTTAAAACGATTTCATTATTTACTTCTGTGTATGGGTGTATTTTGTTATGTACACATGCATATAGGTAATGCAGAGGCCAGATGAGGACAGCAAATCCTCTGGAGTTGGAGTTACAGGCAGTTGTGAGACAGGCGCCTAATGTGAGTCCTGGGAAACAAACTCTATCTCTTTGCAAAACTAGCAAGCTCTTTGCTGAGCTTCTCCTTAGCCCCCATTACTATATTTCAACATATGAAAAGGAGTTTAAAAAGCTACAGTCAGTGAATGTCAGTAAAGGTCTTTATGAAATGATGAAACATAGTAAATTTAATTGATGAATTTGCTACATGCTTTCCCTACAAATTTAAAACATAAGTCTTAAAAGTAGAATATAGAATATTTGGGGTCATTGAGATGGCTCAGTGTATGAAGATGCTTGCTGCTAAATATGACTACCCTGAGTTCAATCCCAGGGATCCACATAAAAGGAGAGTACCAACTTCAATAAATTTTCTTGCCCTCCATATGCACATGGTAGCAAGAGTAACACCGCCCAACACACACAGTAAATGAAGTAGCAAAAAATTTATAGTGAAGATAACAAAGGCTTCTGCTTCTTTTGAAATTTTCTGAATTTTGAAAACTAAGCCCTTACTGCTGATCACAGTAATGATTTTTGTTTTATTTCAGGCACTTGGGAAGCAGAGGCAGGAGGACCTGTGGGTTTCAGGCAGGATCCCACTAAATCTGGCTGGAAACTCAATAAGCTAAGAAGAATTTAAATAGCTCTTATACGAGCAAAGCTAAACTGAACTTCTCTTTGAGTAATATATAGCTGAGCACCAAAATAGCACCTGGCTCTTAGAGAAAACATCATTTTAACATAAGTATCACTAGGAAAGGACTCAGTAAATTGGTATTCTAATGACCCTAGAAAGTTAGTTTGATCAACTGATCAATTTCAACCCAATATTCAACAATCAGATATTTATATTTTGAACTAAAACTACAAGCTACATGTTCTTCAAGGATACAGAAGATCATCACAACACATATAAACCTGTACCTTTAGACAGGAGCCCTGATTGGGGATGATTAAGGGATACATAAACCACAACAGCTAAAATTGAGTTAGGAACAGTAAAAAGTAATGTTCTGACTTACGCTTACCTACTATACTCTTTTCTGGAGCTGGAGGCACAATGTAACCAACATGTAAATATTTGCTTGCTAATTTGCTATGCAAACCAAGAAAGTCACTGAATCTTCTTTTGACTGAAAATTCACTCTTACTGAACATGGAAAGAGAAGTCTACAAATGAAGAACAGATATTTCACATTGTTAATATAAAGTGATCATTTACAAACTAATACTGCATATAATTGCAAGTGTAGTCTGCTCTAATTTTTGAATGATTGCAGTATGGCTTATAGATAATGGCAACAACAAAACTAAAATTTAGGGTCCAAGACATAGTTTTTAAAAAGTGACTTATGGTTAGAAAACACTTGCTTTATTTTATGTTTGATCTACAACACCCTCTCTACTGTACTATTGCTAATGATTTCCCCCTTTTCTGGTTTTGAGACAGGTCTTGATATAGATTAGCTTTGAACTCACAATGCATAGGCTATTGATTCTTCAATATTTACCCATGGCCCAGACATCCCAAAAGGCAGCTCCACACAAATCGGACTGAGATCAAACTCACCAAATTTTCCCTGCTGAAGTCCCATAAGGACAGCACTTTCCTCTACTGTTTACTGCTATTGCCAGGCGCTTGCAAAAGAGCCCGAAACCATCAATTAATAAATTTCACTATGTCCCTCCCCATCTTGTCTTTCTCTAACTACAAACTTTCTGTATCATATATATATTCATGATTCCTTATGCTCAAACATTATTGATTCTCCTACCTACATTCAGAAATAACTTATTTTGATTTACTTTCAAAACTGTTTCTTCAGTATCAAGTATCAATGCCCTCCCTGGTTGTAGCTGCTTGTGTTTCTCAAGCTGGCTTAGAGCTCACTATGAACTTCCTCCTGCTGCACCTGCCCCTACCCATCTCCTGAGTGTTGACATCACAGGTGTGCACCACTTCCCGCTTGTTCTGTACACTGGAGAGTGAACCCAGGGCTTCACGAATGGTATGCAGGCACTCTACCTAACTGACCTACACTCCAGTGTAAAGTTAAGATCACTATGACAGATGGGCTTTGTGTGTCAAGACTTAATCCTTTAGTAACTGCAGTGGTCTTTAACTGAAAGTCTGGACCTGTGCTTGGGATCTTCCCAATTCACATTGAGTTAAAGACAGAGCTGTGCTAACAAATCTAATAGTGCCATACTTTTGTTTGACCCTCTCTAACAGTTCTCCTGTATGCTAAGGATGAAATCAGAAGTCCTCAACATGGTTACGCTAAGTACATAAGATGATGACTCAGTCAGGAGTCACTTACAGACAGAACTCTGGAAAGCCCAATGCCTTGACTCCTCCTTCGAGTTCCTACTCACTCCCTCACACATGTCTCACCTTACAACTACTTTGGCCATGCCTAACCTTCAGGTCTACATTAGTTCACTGCCTGCAAACTCTCGTTCTTATGCTCACATCCTCTCTACCACACAGAGTGAGGGGGCCAACACTTTAATAAAGAAGCAAAAAGCTCACCTTTGTTGTTACTCTATATGCCATGTAAGCATTCATGCCATCACCTATAAAGAAAGAAGTCAAAGAATATCATTAAAATTCATGTGCTTGCACTAGAGGAGGTAAAAGTAGACTGCTTGCCTAGTGTATATAAGAACCTGGGTTTAATTCTTGGTACCACCAAAATAATTACAAATAAATTGATTGAATTAAATGCTTTAAAACACACAAAAAAGTTTAAAAGAAAAGCACCATAACCATATAGGATATAACAATCAAGCCAATCAAAAAGAAGAACAGAAAATAATAATGACTCACCAACTTTTTCTGGATCTGACACACCAATTTCTATATCAAAAATATCTCCATTTGCTTCTTCTTCAATCTATAAAAGTATATTTTGGTGTTAAAAAGTCCATTTCTCTTGAAAGTAACCAGCAGCTGTCTAATTGGATTCATGGCCCTGTCAACAGGAGGGAATTTATGCCTAGTACTGCAGTTCTGGTCGTCTATCTGTGTCTAGAGAGGGCCTGGGCCCTAAACAGATCATACTGCTATCATTTCTCTAAACCAATATAATTTCTAACTGTATTGTAAATACTTATCCTTATACCACAAATAGGTGTAGCTCTCACCCATCATCAAAGAAGCTTCTTTTTGCAAAAGATGGAGACTATTATAGAGATCCACACTAGTCAACATATAGAGGAGAGACTGCCGCATTCCCAGCCCAACTGATAGATTACAAAACTGTCATTAGAGCCCCTGCCCTATAATTTCCAATCCTGAATAACTAAAAAGAACTCATTATCTATACCAGCAGAAGCTTACATACTTGAAGAAATCATATGTAAAACAAATTTTAACAGAATGATTTCTCTAGTTATCTAATAAAAATAAATACATATTTTCCTCGACAACAATAAAGGTCCTGTAAAACTCAATTTTCAAAATTAACAAGCGAAAAAATTAACTTGATGGGACTACATAAAGGACCTTTTGAAAGCAATTTAAAAATAAATATTTTGGGGTCAGCAGTTAAGACAACTGACAGCTCCTCCAGAGGACCCGGGTTCAATTCCAAGCACTACATGGCAGCCTCACAACTGTCTTTAACTCCAGTTCCAGGTTACCTGACACCCTCATACAGACACACACAGAGGCAAAGCACCCATGCATATGAAATAACAATAAATATATTTAAAAAAATTATAAACAACAATAAAAAATTTCAGCCAGGTCATGGTAGTTGATGCCTTTGACCCCAGGACTTAGGAAGAGGGGGGCAGGTGAATCTCTGAGATAAAAGCCTCTTTTATATAGTGAGTTCCAAGACAGCCAGGCTACACAGAGAAACCCTGATTAAAACAAACAAACAAACAACAAAACAAACAAAACCCAAGAATTTCAAATATTTTTGTTACAGAAAGAGTTTTTAGAGAAGTCAGCCAGGAGTATAACTCAGTGTGCCTGCCTAGTGCAAGCAATGCCTGGATTCTATGCACAACACTAAACAAAAAGCAAAAATCAAAGGACAAGAAATCTCACAGTATTAAGTCTCCAAAATGTCAAGGCAATATTAGCAATATAAAGCTGTAACAAAAGCATGTTTCTCTAGCCATCTTCCTTTTCAGAGTCACTTTCTTATAGACACTGTGATTCAGAAAAATGTATTAACTGTTAAGTGGACAGTTCAATAAACTCTCACAAAATGAATTCACCTTTGTATCCAAAACCCAAATGAGAAATGCAAGCAACAAGTATATCCCCAAAGGCCCTCTTAAGAGCCTGCCTTCCAGTCACACCTTCTTTATCTGGCCAACATAGCTGACAGTCTGATACCTAATTTACATATACTGTTCACTAATTTTATCTGTTTTTAATGTTCATATCATGGAATCAGACATTGTGAGTACTCATTTATTTATATCTTACTACTTTTCATTTGTATTATTTTGGGGAAGCTATTCACCTTTGTATATAGTCAGTATTTAATTGTGATTACACTGGCTATAAATTTCTACTTGAGAATAATTTTTAAATACCATGATTTTTTAATTCTTCTCTAACTGTCCTGCTTCTTAATAATTCTATCCTTTATAAAGTAAAAGAATTATCAGGTCACAAGGAAACAACTTTTATTACTTTTATTGATATGTACCTCTCTCTTTTAAAACTAAAAGCTTGAGGCAATTCAAAAAGATAAAGTCTTGGGCTAGGCCTATAGCTCAAAGGTAAAACAGTTGCCTATCATGCAAGAGCCCCTGGGTCCAATCCTCAGTGCTGTAAAAATAAACAGATGCCAGATAGCAATCTTAAGTACCAATAGTATTCACTACATGCTCTGTCAAAGAAAATTACTCATAATGCCACTTTCAGTACTTTCCCCCATCACCTGTCCAACACAAGAACCCGCAGAGGCCTATACTGTTATCATAAGACCACAAATGACAAAATACCCCAATTTAATCATCAAACAGCCTTCTTTTTTTTGGTAGCTCTGGGGATAGAATCTAGGGTCATGAGCATATGAGGCAATCACTCTACCACTGAACTACACTCCCACTTCAAACTCTTTGATTAAGAAGGTTAAGTGGTAGAGTTCAGAGGGGTGGGACATTTAGAGAAGCTAAGACAGGAACACTGCTGTGAGTTTTATAGCCAGCTGAGATACTATTGAGTCCCAGGCCAGCATGGGCTATAGAGTAAAAAGGACCCTGTCTCAAAAATCAAACAACAAAAACAATGTACATAATATGCTAGGTCAATCTCTTGAGAGAAAGAGATTTAACACCAGGTGCCCCTATGCTTCCCGCCCCCACCATCCCCCACCCTCTGTTTTAACACCCGGTATCACTATTGTAGAAACAGGCTGTCTTCTAACAAACAGAGATCTACTTGACTCTGCCTCCCAAAGACTGAGATTATAGACATGTGCCACCACAACTTTCTTCTTAGTATAGTTTTGCCATCTAAAATGTCTGAAAGGCTTTAATTAGGAATAATTTAATAAGAGAAAAGTTCTGGAAAACGAACAAAAATATGTATTCTTTCCACAATAACCTAGAATTATAAACATCTCTCCTTACCTCTTCCCTGGATCTATCAAAGATCACTGGAGCAGAAATACTCTTTGATTCCATTCTAGGAGCAATGAGTGCAGTAGGTGTGACAGGGGTGACTGCAGGAGAAGGCTCAGAGGAGATGATAGGCTCTCTTTCTGGACTGTCCAAAGAAACTTCTTCTGTGGCTTCTAGACATAAATTAAACAAGTTAATCAAGGAAATTACAGCATATGGCAGTTCATGAAATATAAAAAACATACCTACAAACAAGTCTCAAAAGTATCATAATTTATAAGTTATCACTACAAGGGACTTTATTGTACCTAATTATTTAGTTGTTTATGAAAACTTTACAACAGGAACTATGTTGATTTTATAAAGAATTATATTAAGTCAGCTTAATTATCTATACTAGGAGAAAAACAATGATGTGACTAATTCCATATTCATTTGTGTTTGAACTGGTAATACAGCTTACATGTAATAACTTACCTTTATTTTATTCAGGTTAATATGATTGTTCATATATGAAAACAAATTTTATGTAAGACTGCCTTTAACTATCCCAATTGGGATTAAAAATCTGTTATGAAAAACACTCACCAAGTTAGTAATCTAAAGCAATTAATTGCCAAAGATTACTGAGTATTAGTTGAATATACAAATATGGCACAAAGCAAAGAGATGTTTAAGTTTTAATTTTAAATGCTCATTCTCTTGAAATATTTAAAATTAAACATATTTAAAATCAAACCACATCAATAAACTGAAGTCTACAGACTAATACTGTGCTAAATGCAATGAAGAAACACAAAGAAATGGAAAAAAAATCATACCTGCCCTCAGGGAGTTTATAATCTAGTTGAGAAAACAAGACATGTGGAATGTTAAACAATAATAAAAGACTTAAGAGAATAATAAAGAATGTTATAAGACACTCAATCACTATATGAACAGTAGAACAAACACTTTAATTTGAGCAGACACAGGAGTAAATACTTCAGGGTAGGGAAAATCAGAAATAGTCTGTGACTCTGACTTGAGATTGTTTAAATAGATACAGGAAGAAGTTGAGGAAAAATTCCATGCAAACAGAATAATAGCATAAGTAGAAAAAAAAAAGAAAGATAGAAAAGACTAGGACAGTGAAATTTAATCAGTGAGCCTAAGACAAAACAGCACAACAGCCCTGCTGGCTTACAGAACTGATACCAAGAAGATGAAATTATAAGGCAAACAAGGGATCAGACCAATGGTTTTCAGCCTTGGTTCCTGGATTCTTGGAATTTGGAGAAAGTACTAATTGTGGTCAGTGAGTCACTTTAAGCAGTCAACTTGAAATTACACAGCTTGACATGCTATCAAATTACTTGGACTGTCTACATAATATTGACAAGATAACTAGTATGGATCTCTTCATATTTTTGTAATAAAAGAAAATTATTAATAACTAAAATCTTCCAAACTATGGTAACCAAAGGGGAAACTACAAAATACAGATACAACAGACTACACATGCCCCGACAGTTTAGATCCACTTCAAGCTTTGTAGACTGCTAGCATTTGCATTTATTTATCTATTTATTTATTTTAATGAAATGAAAACAGGGCAAGAGAATGGTTCATTGGGTAAATGTGCTTTTCATAAGCCTGATAACCTGAATTTGATCCTTGGGACCCAGATGGTAGAAAGAGAGCTAACTTCTACAAGTTATCCTCTGACCTCCGTGCACATGTTGTGGTATGTGTATGTGTGTGTGCGCACACACACACACACACAAATGTAATAGGAAAAATTTTAAAGAGATGAAAGTAAACAACAATAAGTTTGATATGGTGGTGCTGGCCTTTAATCCCAGCACTTGGGAGACAGAGATCGGTAGATCCCTATCTATGAGTTTGAGGCTTGATCTACATAGTAAGACCCCTGTATCAAAAACAAAAAAAACAGTCAACACTGTTTGAAAGTAAAAAGTAGTACATCAAAAGTAGGTGTGACGGGCTGAAGGGATGGCTCAGCAGTTAAGATCACTGGCTACTCTTCCAGTTCCCAGAGCCCCCATGGCAGCTCATAATCATTCATAACTCCAGTTCCAGGGAATCTAGTGCCTCTGTAGGCACTGCATGTACTGGTGCACATATACAAATGCAGAAAAATTACACACACACATGAAAATAATCTTTAAAGAAACTGAGCTATGAGAACAGAAGTAGCAAAGGCCATCCACCCCATGAACCCAGAAGGGTTGTGATACAGCCACAACGCACAAATAATGACAAACCAACAAAAGATTCCACTGACACTGGTTTAAACTCAGTGGTTCTCAACCTGTGAGTTGTGACCATGTCATATATTGAATATTTTTTACATTAGGATTCATAACAGTAGCAAAATTAGAGTTATAAAGTAGCATTGAAATAATTTTATGGTTGGGAGACACTACAACACGAGAAACTGTACTAAAAGGCCACAGCATTAGGAAGTCTAAAGCCATCCAATGTTTTTCAATAACATTTTACTATACTGATAAAAAGTTTTCTGTGCTTGTACTAGTAGCTGCTTCAGCTACAAAGGACCAGAAACTTAAGTAAGGTTAAGCATAATCTAAGCAATTAATATGGGAAGATAAGAAATCAAATGGACAGGCTTAGATTAAGCATACTGATGATCTGCCTTAAATTTGTTTTTTTGTTTGGTTTTTCAGACATGGTCTCAGCAGGCAATGGTGGCGCATGACTAGGGAAGCAGAAGCAGAGGCAGGAAGATCTCTGTGAGTTTGAGGTCAGCCTGGTCTACAGAGCGAGTTCTAGACAGGCTCCAAAGCTATAGAGAAACCCTGTCTCATAAAAAACAAAAACAAGATTAAAAAAAAAAAAAAAATACCACAGTGAAGTTAAACTGTAAAGCATAAAAATTATTTTATTTAAAATTTTTGTTGTGTGAGTAGTGCATGGCGTATGTATGTATGGTAGTGCAGGATACGTGCCACAGAGTACATGTAGAGGTCAAAGGGCAATTGTTTTCCTGAGGGTTTACCAGCTCAAACTCAAAAAAGTGTTGTACAGAAAGAACTTCATCCACTGATTCCTTCTCACCAACCCCAAATTATTTAGTATTTTAAACAAATACTGACAATTCACTGTTGCCCTTTCTTCCTTCCTCTTTCTTCCCTCCATCCCTCCCTCCCTCCCTCTCTTCTTTCTTTCTTTCTTTTCTTTCACACAGGGTCTTGCTATGGATCCCTAACCTTGTTATTCATTATGTAGCCTAGGCTAGCCTCACACTATTAACAATCTTTGTCATAGATTAGTTGTCAAATACAAAAATATTTACTATTTTAATTTTGTGTCAATATTAAAATTTTAATTTTTGCTTTTCAATATTAAAATGTTAACTTAAATCTTATTTATTTATTTATCTGGTTTTTCAAGACAGGGTTTCTCTGTGAAGCTGTCTTGGAACTAGCTCTTGTAGACCATGCTGGCCTCGAACTCACAGAGATCCGCCTGCTTCTGCCTCCCGAGTGCTGGGATTAAAGGGGTGTGCCACCAATGCCAAGCCCATTAACTAAAATCTTAACTTAATTTTAAGGCATAATTACTTATAAAAGTCAAGCATTTTTTTTCTAAGTTAGAATGGATTACACCAAATTCTATCCTTATAACTAGAACACATTCAAACACCAACTTATCTAACAGCAAACCTGTAACAAGGTGATTTTTTTTTTAATTTTTTATATGTATGGGTGTTTTGCCTGCAGGTATGTCTATTCTGGCCACCAGAGGCCAGAAGAAGGCATCAAATCCCGTGGAACTGGAGTTAACAAATGTCTGTGAGCCACCATGTGGGTGCTAGGAATCAAACCTAGGTCCCTTTGGAAGAGCTGCTGAGGCATCTCTCTAGCCCCCATATAGCGATTTTTAAATTCATACTCTGATTTTGCTTTGTGACAACTTGTAAGTAACAATAACAACCAAAACAATAGTCACTGCTATCTACTAAGAATATGGTCATTTCAAATTCTTAAAGCTAAAGGGAAGTTTTGCTTCTCTTAATGGTCTGTGTGTATTTCTTACAGAGTGATCTAACTACATAGTCCCTATCCTGCTAAGTTTTTGTTTTGTTTTGGGTTGTTTACTGATCTCACCTTACAAGCTAGGCTAACCTTGAACTCACAACAATCTTAATGCCTCAATATCCATAATGCTAAGATTACAGGCACCAACTATGCTCAGATTCACTTTTTAGGGTGGTACAAGAGCTCCCATTATGACACAGAATTTCAGTTGCCATAAGGAGTAATCTAATAGCATATAATATTATATAATTGCCTATTACTGTGAAATTACCTGCAAAAAGATCTTCTCTGTCATCGTCTAGCATGACTTCTACAGGTTTGGAGCCATTGGAGTTTGCACTAAGATCTTCTGCAGGAAGACTGGCTGGTTCAGGAGATGATGGACTTGACTGTGAAAAGAACAATAGTAGACAATGGACTAGAATGTTTCTTTGCTTTTTCACTGTATCTCATAAACTAAAGAAATACAGAATTCCCTTGATTAGGGAGGAAAAGAACACCCACTTAGATTCTTTTCTAAGGTTCAAAATACACTTTAGTTCATCCCCTTTGCTCAACAGCCACTTAACTCAAGTGTCATCCCTTTTAGAAGCACCAATTTATCATATTTGTTATAATTACAAATCCATAGTATCCAGAATACAACCAAATTCCGAACAAGTCCCTTGATTTTAAGAGTCAATGCTTTGGGGGCTAGAGAGATGGCTTAGGGGTTAAGAGCACTGATTGTTTTTCCAGAGGACCCAGGTTCAATTCTTAGCACTCACATGGCAGCTCAATGTAACTCTAAGATCTGACACTCACACAGACACAGGTGCTTGTAAAATATCAATATATATAGAATAAAATGAATAGATTATTTTTTTTTAAAAAAAGTCAGTGCTTTTTTTATGATCATGGTTGTTTTTTCCATCACCTCTGACCTCTAAAAGCATGCTATGGAACACACAGATCTAATACTAGATGAATTATGAATATAGCCATTTCTAAGATTCTATACTTTCAAACTAAAGCTATGCCATCTCTCAAAATACTCTTTTTTTTGAGACAAGGAGTCTCATATGTAGCATAGCCTAGGATAGCCTCGTACTCTCATGCCTCAGCCTCCCATGCACTTGTGTGAAGGTGTGTACTACACTCATCTGGAAAATTAATGACTCTTATCTTTTTTAATTAGGTCCAGTTATGTAACCCAGGCAAATCTAGAAAACACTCCTGCCTCACCCTTTCAAATTCTGGGAATATTAGGACTCTATCAAACCCAGCTGTTTTGCCTACTTAATGATATGCCTATATGAAACTCGTCTGTACTGGTCTGTATAGTAAATCACTCATTGTAATATATTTTCCCAGTTTTATTAACCTAATATAGATAAACCAGCAAAGACATGCCCAGAGATATGGTTCCATGGAGTGACAAGACTAACTGACACAGGTCTCAAGCATTTTGTAAAAAGAAGCAAACAAAATTAGTTGGTTTTTTTTGTTGTTGTTGTTGTTGTTTTGTTGCTTTTTCAAGACAGGGCTTCTCTGTATAGCCCTAAATGTCCTGGGACTTACTATATAGACCAGGGTGGCCTTAAAGTTGGAAGAAATCTACCTGCCTCTGCCTCCCAGGTCTTTGTACACCACCACCACCCAGCTTGCTTGCTTGCTTGCTTGCTTCTTTCCTTTCTTTTTTCAAGACTTTTTCTGTGTAGGCCTGGCTGTCCTGCAATTCACTCAGTAGACCAAGCCAGCATCAAACTCTGAGACTTGCCTGCCTCTGCTCCAGAGCAATGGGATTATCACCCAGAGGTTTGTCTAGGAGGGAGAGTCAGATTTAAACTACAGATATTTCCAGCAGTCTACATTAATAATAGACCTACAATAGAAATTCTTAATTTCATATGGCAATTTTTTTTTCTTCTTTAGTAATAAGTAAACTTTTTATGGGATAAGTATCTTTTTGTTTTTGTGGTGGTACAGACTGAACCTAAAGCCCTGTACTCATACCTGGCAAACACTCTCCTATCAAACCTCACCTATATTCCTCTAATCATCTTTTGATATCATTCATCTTCTGGACATGGTAGTACATGTCTGTAATCTCAGTACTTTGTTGAGGCAGAGGAAGGAGATTAGTAGTTTAAGCCATCTCTGACTACAAAGCAAGTTTGAGGCTAGTCTGAACTACATGAGGTCACATCTTGGAACAGAAACAAGTAAGCTAGAAAGATGGCTCAGTGGTTAAGAGTTTTGACTCACATTCAATTCCCTGTATCCACATGGGCAGCTGGCCTCTGTGGGCACCCACATGCACATGTGCATACAAACACTACAATCAGTCATGTGTGGTGGGGCACTCATACCATCCTAACACTGGGAAAGCTGAGGTAGGATTACTAGTTTCAGAGCAGCCTAGATAGACTACATAGTGAGACAGAAATAGAGTTAAAAAAAAAAAAAAAAAAAAAAAAAAAACCCCAAAGCCTTAATCTTTGTGACTCTGCATTCTGCAGATACCAAGCATGACACCAAAAGCATCAGCATGGAAGTAGAAGCTAGGCATACTGACAAACTTCTGAGACTGTAGCATGGAGTAAGACTAAAGCTATAGGGTCACAAGCTAAAGTTCTCTCTGGGCCACGAGGCAAGACCCTATTTTTATTTATTTACACTGTCATACCTGCAGACAATGCATTATGATAACACACCTCCAATGCTGAGTAGGAAAAAAATAAATATGCACACACATGCACACACAATTATGATTCTACTCATTCAAACTCCAGAACAGGAACTCTAGAGAGATTAATTGCTATACTAAGGTTAGAGGCTCAGAAAATGGAGGGAAAGCACCTGAAGTGTACAAGATATCTTTCTAAAATAATGAAAATATTCTAAAACTGACTATGGTAATAGATACATATATTTCACTATCCTAAAAACCACTGAAATGTACATACTAATGGGTGAACAATAAAACACAGAAGCTGTACCTTCACAATGCTATTCAGACAAAAAGGTATAGGGAAGCATGGTGGCTCATGCTTGCAATACCAGAACTTGGGAGGCGATGGCAGGAAAACCAATGAAAGCCTATGCCCAGCCTGGGCTATGTGAGACCCAGAAGGAAGGAAGGAAGGAGGGAGGGAGGGAGGGAGGGAAGGAGACAAGACAGACTCAGTGGACAGGATGCTTGCTGTCAATCCTGATGACCTAAATTTGATCCTTAGAACCCACTTAATAGAGACAACCAACTCCCATAAGACACACACACACACACACACACACACACACACACACACACACACACCACAGATTGTAAACAAAAATAAAAACAAGACTTCTAGGTGAGACAGAGGATTAGAAGCCCCATTAGTGTGATAGTAAAAGAAAAACAGAGCACCACATAATAATGTCTACTCCTTCAAGATACAATTGTTATAAAATAATTTCTTAAGCCGGGTACAAAAAAGAAGCAGGTAGAAATGACTGTGACCAGTATCCAACTGACCCATACAATTCTCAAAGTCTGTGGTAAACACACACAAATACAAATTTTGTTAAAGCTTAAAAATCAAGGCTGTAGAAAGATGACTTGATGGTTAAGAGCACTGGCTGCTCTTGCAGAGAACCTGGGCTCAGTTCCCTGCATCCACATCATCAAGTAGCTTACAACTACCTGTAGCTCCACTTCCAAGAAATCCAATGATCTCTTCCAGTCTCTGTGGACACAAAGCTTGGATGAGGTGGAAAACACCCATACACATTAAAATAAATAAATTAAATAAAGAACAACAAAGCAGGATCCATCTATTTGCTACCTCCAAGAAATGTGCTTCACCATCAGACAAATAAAATATTAAAGTAAAAGAATTGGAAAACCATTCCAAGGAAAGAAAAGCAGGAAATACGTGTTAATCTGTTAACATATGACAAAACAGATGTCAATCCAGAAGATAAAGTCACTTCATACTGACAAGGGAGCAATCCACCAGGATCAAACATATGCACAGAACATGGGTGCATACAATTCATACAACAAATACCACTAGATATAAGACCAAATTAACCTCAACACAGTAGTAGTGACCTTAACACCCTAGTCTCACCAATAAGACAGGTCATCCCACCAAAACAAACAAATAAACAACAAACAAACGAAATAAAGAACCAATTCCATGCAGTTGTTCACTTACCTCTCTCTACGTTTGTATTGTTGCATATGCAGCTGCATACACACACACACACACACACACACACACACACACACACACACACACTTACTTTAAAAAATAAAAATAAAGCCTGGGGGGGGGTGGTAGTGCATACTTTTAAGTATATCTCTGTGAGTTTGAGGCCAGCCTGGTCTACAGAGCAAGTGCCAGGACAGCCAGGGCTGTTACACAGAGAAACCCTGTCATGGGGGGAAAAAATATACATGCTTTTCAGTAGTAACCCATGGAACTTTCTCTTGAATAGATCCTATTAGAACACAAATTGGGAAAACTAGAATAGCTTTTTGTTGTTTCCAACCTGGGCCACAATGTAATGAAGCAGAAATCAATAGCAAGAGAAAGTACAGAAAATACATAAACTCATGGGAATTAAACAACACCCAACTGAATGATAAATGGGTCATTGAAGAAATAAACATGGAAATTTAATAATTCTAAGAACTGGATGAAAATGTAAAGAACATGTTAAATTATGGGATGTAATGAAAGCAGTCCTAAGAGCAAAGTTCCTAACAACCAGAGCCTATACAATAAAAAAAAAAAAAAAGAGAGAGAGAGAGGATTCTCACATACCCTAAATACCCTGGAAAAACAAGAACAAGGCAAATCCCAAAACAGATTGGAAAATAAATAAATCCAAGAAATAAATAACAGGAAATTTTGAAGATTAAAAAAAAATCAATGAAGAGTTGATTCTTTGAAATGATAGCCAAGATTAACATTTAGCCAACTAAAAGAACAAGAGAGATTAATAAAATTAGAGATGAAAAGGTAGAAATTACAACAGAAACTAATGAAAGTCAAAATTGGTGGTGCATGCCTTTAACCCTAGCACTCAGAAAGCAGGCAGACTAAGTTTGAGGCCAGCCTGGTCTCAACAGAGCAATTTCCAGGACAGCCAAGGCTACATATGGAAACCCTGTTTTGAAAAAAATTAATAAAAAAGAAAGTCAGAAAATCTGGGCTGATGAGACGACTCAACAGGTAAAGGGGTTCTCAGGCAAGCCCCAAAACCCATTTCCCAGGACCTACATAATTTGTCACCGTGTATGTAGCATACATCCCAACCCCAAATACAACGGAAAAGGATTAGCCATAAAAATCATAAGGATATACATTAAGAGCCACAGCTCAGCAGATAAGAGCATTTTCTGCCCTTCCAGAGGACCCAGGTTCCATTCCAGAATCCATTATCAGGTGGCACATAAGACCTGTAACTCTAGATCCAAGAGATCTCATGTTCTTTCCTGGCCTCCACATGAACCCACATACATGGAGTTCACTCATCCACACAGATACACATAAAAACAATAAAAATAAATACTTTTTAAATTTAAAATATTTATATTCCAGTCTGGCGGTAGTGACACTTGCCTTTAATCCCAGCACTTGGGAGGCAGAGGCAGAGACAGGCAGATCTCTGTGAGTTCAAGGCCAGCCTGGTCTAAAAGAGCTAGTTCCAGGACAGCTAGGATACACAGAGGAACCCTGTCTTGAAAACCCAAGGGAACACAAAACAAAACTTATATTCCACTAAAATTGAAAATCAGGAGGAATTTATTTCTAGATGCCTATGACCTGATTGTAAAACTAAGAAGAGATAAATAACATAACCAGGTCTGTAACAAGCAAGATTTAGACAGCAACAAAAAAAGAAAAAAAAAAAATCTTCCAGCTAAAAGAAATCAGCCCCAGATGTATTCACTACAGAATTCTACCAACCTTTTAAGAAGAATCAACAACAATTATTCACAAAGTAGTCCATAAAATAGAGAAGGAAAGAATGCTTCCATACACTTCTTATGACACTGGTGTTATGTTAGTGGTATAACCAGACAAAAACACAACAACAAATTATAGACAAGTCTCCCTGATGAACACAGAAACAAAAATTCTCAGTAAAATAATTGCAAACCAAATTCAAAATCACACTGAAAAGGTAATTTGAGGATTGGAGAGATGGCTCAGACAGAGGCTATGAGCATTTGTTGTTCTTGCAGAGGAACCTAGGTTCCACCAGAACCCACAACTACCTGTAACTACAGTTACTCCAGATGCCTTCTTATGACCTCTGAACATATGACCCACACTCAGTACACATACATGAATGCAGCCACCCCCTCAAAAAAAAAACTCTAAAACCCTCATATACAAAAAGTAAATAAGATCAAGTTAGTTTCATTTCAGACAAGCAGGGATGGTTCAATATATAAATTAGTAAATGCTGTGTATAGCATGAATGGATTCAAGGAAAGAAATCGCATGATTAACTCAATAGATGTAGAAAAGGTTTTTGACAAAATCATCCATGATAAAAGAGATTAATAATGGAAGGAATATATCTCAACATAATAAAAGTTACATACAATGCGCCTATAGCCAACATCATGATAAATGGAGGTAAACTCAAATAATTTGCACTAATATCAGAAACAACAAGGATATTCACTAACATTCCTGCTAGAGCAGTAAGTCAAGAGAATGAAATAAAATGAATACAAATAGGAATGAAGTCAAATTATCTTTATTTGCAGGTGATAAGCTTTTATGTAATAGACCCTATCTAAAGAATCCACCAGAAAATTTCTGGCTCTGACAAATACTTCTAGTAATGTGCCAGGATAAACTGATGACAAAAATCAGTGGTTTTCCTATTTATTAATAACAAACATGCTAAGCAAGAAATCAGAAAAACAGTCCCATCAAAAATCTCTAAAAATTAGTAAGTAAATGTAAACATATCTTAGAATAAACCTAGCCAAGAAAGTAAAGGACCTCTACAAAAAAAAAAAAAAAAAAAAAAAAAAAAAAAAAAAAAAAAAAACAAATTTGAAGACATTAAGAAATGAGATGGCTTACCTCAAATTTCAACAGAAGTACTATTATGATCTATCTTTCAAAAGGCAACGTCAGATACAATGCAACCCCTAATAAAACCCCAGTAACATTCTTCACAGAAATATAAAGAACAAAGAGGTTCAAATGGAAGCATCACAGACTGGAAAGCAAGAAAAGAGCAATGTTGCAATCATACCTGATTTCAAGTTATGCTACAAAACATGGTAAGAGCACAAAACAAGCATGTAGACAGATGGAACAGAATAGAGGGCCCATGAAACTACAGCCTCCTGATTAATATTTTTTTTAATTTACATTTATTGAGCCGCCAATATGGAGGTCAAGGGACAATGTGTAGGGAGTTGGTTCCCTCCTTGGTTCCTGCCTTGGGGTCACCAGGCTTGATGGCAAGTATCTTTACACACCATCTCACCAGCTCCTAGCCACCAGACTTTCAACTAAGATGTCTAAACTACATACCACTGAAGACAACCTTTTCAACATGTGAGACTGGGAAAATTGGCTATCTACACATGAAAGAACAAAAGTGAATCTGTTACTCATCTAGAACAAAAACTGACTCTCAATGCATTAAAGACCCAATACAAGACTGAAGCGCTGAGACTATTAGAGGAAAAACACGGGAAGTACCAGCACAAGGATTTTCTGGAAAGGACACCACTAACTCAGGAAACAATGCTAACTTTACAAATGGGATTTCAGAAAATTTAAAACCTTCTGCACAACAAAGGAAGCAACTGAGTGAAGACACAGCCTACAGAATCAGAAAAAAAAAATCTTTATACACCAGACAGAATATACAGAACACATACACACACAAAAAAAATCAAACATCTCAGTCAATAAATGGGTTGATAGGCCAGGCCTGGTGGTGGCACACCTTTAATCCCAGGACTCTGGAGGCAAAGGCAAGAGGTTCTCTATGAATTCGAGGCCAGTGTGGTCTACATATTGAATCCCTGATCTATACATTGAGTTTTGAGACAGTGAAAGCCTGTCTCAAAGCAAACAGACAAACGATAGGCTTCTAAATAAACTGTATCTACAATTCGAAGACACTGATCTGGGGCTGGGAATGTTGCTCAACATGTTCAACCTAAGTACAGGGAAAATGCCACTCTACAGCCAGGAGTGGTGGTACATGTTTGTAATGTTAGCACTCAGGCTCCGCCAAGAGGAGTTCCAAGCCAGCCTAGGCTACAAAGGGAGATCTGGTTTCAAAAGAAAAAAAGCATTTGTTAGACATATAGAATTCCAGTCAGGTGCAGGCATTTGTGCATGAATACTGTGGATTCTTTTGCTCTCAAAGTGTAGGAAGCACTATGTAAAAGAGAAGCAAAAGTAATGACACAGGATCCCTCATAATCAGTGCCCAAACATTTTGAAGAGGGGGAAAATGAACTTTGTATGCTAACCTGAAAAATTTTAAAACATATCTAGAAATCTCAGTCACACCATTTTCTTAAAAATCCATGAGATTTTAACCAAATATCAACTTTACTTACAACTTTCAGTGTATTAAGCAAAGTAAGTATATTTATAAAACTTTGCAGACTTTCTTTAAAAAAAATGGTCAAACATTATATTCAGAGATGCAGCCTACAGTTTTTATGTTTTGTTTTTGTTTGTTTTTTTTTTTTTAACTCGGAAAGACAATGCAGGTTTTAGGTCTCTGCAGACATGTTCACATATTAAGCTATATAAAACATATCAAAGTATACAAAGATACAAACTCTCCCTACCTAGAAAAATATATTCTGCAAAGTAATTTTAACTAATTTTAGGAGATAGTGGTTTTGACAATTTAACCAGTATTTGCTGCATTAAGCTACAAATACTCAGGATTTGGTTGAAGGCACCATCCAAGGAATTTAAAATCTGTGGGGAGGTGGGGTTTGGCTTCACCACTACAGATAAAATTAGTAGAATTCAGTCAGTGGTGAGTGTTTCCTCAAGTTTTCAGTTTCAGGTCAATGGAATTCAGATAAGGGTGTTTTACAGTTAGTTCCAGTTGATTTGGTGCAGAACTTAACAGGGGAAACAAAGCTTACACTAGAGAACTTTATAAGAAAGGAGAGAGGAGGTGAGATGCTCAGCTGGTAAAGCTGCTGACAAGGGGAGATGAAGAGAACCAACTCCCAAAAGTTGTCCTTTGATTTTCTTGAGCAAGTGCCCGCACTCACACACACAAGTACACAATAACTGCATGTAGTTTAAAAACAACAACTACATCTGAGGTAAACAATCTTCCGAGAAAAGGGCTTACAGACTTAAAATTAGGATTTCCGCTGTATGCACTCTCATCCAATGTAAAGCAATTCAAATGTGACTAGAAAAAGGCAGGCCAACACTGTTCAACTCATATATATGTGTTTCCTTTGACAAAAACAGGAACACTCAGCTACAGAGATCGCTGACCATGCGAAAAAAGAGGAAAAAGGAGTGGAGATCTGTTTCTGTTTCTCTCCTGAGTAACTAAAAACGAAAAAGAGAAAGTTTCTTGAATTATAGCATCCTTTGATTTTGTATTTTCCAAACAATATACCCCCCTAAAAAGTCTAAAACCCAAGCGGTGGCTCCCATCAGCTAATCTCAGCACTTGGAAAGAGGAGAGGCAGGAAGATCACAGGTTCAATGCCATCCTCGGCTACACAGAGTTCGAGTCCAGCCTGGGCTGCAAGAGATCTCGCCTTAAGAAACATCTACTAACTCAAATGCATTTACCTATTTTTTTTTTTTTTTTAAGGAGGTCCCTGTCTCCAAGAGAACTAACAGTCCATGAAGGACAGACACTACAGTGAAAAGCGCACCCAGACCTCCCCGGGGACCCTCGGCCACTGAGCGTCCACTTCATGACTTCAGGGCTCTCCCCTTGCAGGGCACACCCTCCGGTGGGCAGAGTAACAGGCCCGTCTCCCCGGGGGATGCGGAGGTGCTGGGGAAGCCGGGACAAGCCTCCCTCCTTCCTGGAGGAAGAGGCGCGAATGACACGGAAGGCCCGAGAGCTTGCGAGCCACACGGCTGGGTCCCGTCCCTGGGTCCCGGCCCCCGGAGGACGGAGTCGCACCCCAGGCCCGCAGGCTGCCGTCCCGCCGGCTGGCCGCCCAGGCCAACCCCGGCCCCCCTGACAGGCACCTGAGGTGCGGCCGGCGTCACAGGTGTCACCGGACCTGGCCTGGCGAACCCGGGAGTGGGGAGGGACAAGTCGCGGCAGGGAAAGGCGGCGTGGCGCGCGACGCCGACGTCGACGCGGCCTGCACGGCGGGGCCGTCTCACCTCAAGGGTGGAGACAGTGCTGGTGAACAGGTCCTCCCCGTCCTCCAGCTCCTCAAAGTCGGTGGGCTTCACGTCCCCCAGCGGAGGAGGCTCCCTCTCAGCCGCCATCTTCGCCGGCCTGGACGACTGCAAGAGCCGGGCCTCGCGGACCTGTCACGTGAGCACGCAAGGCGGGGCCTGCGCGCCGACCCGCTGGCTGGCCCGCCTCCGGGCCCGCCCCTTGGGCCCGCCCCCTCGAAGCTCCGCCCCCGACTGGAGCAGTGCGAGCCCCAGAGCTCTGATCCGGCCTCGCCCTCCTGCTACCACATTTGGGTCTTGGCATCCTTACTTAGTTACTTCCTTCCTGCTTGCTGACCAGACTTAAAAATCTTACACTTGTTGCTACAGGACTAGGAAGTAGAAGAGCTTAGACACCGGCCTTCGAGCACGGCTTATACACAGATTCAGGGAAAGAATGATTATTGGTGGATAAACAAGCTCAAGTGTGGCCAGAGTCGTCCATAAGAAACTTCTGACACCATGAAGTGTTCTCTTCCTGTACTGTTTGCACGAGATTACTGGGCGCTTGAAATGTGGCTAGTGTGAGAAACTGAGCGTTTTTAAAATTTCATTTTATTTACGGCCAGTAGCTAGCTAGCTACCTGTTAGTACATCCCTACATAATCAAAAGGTCCTAGGGTGGGCATGTAGCCTCATTAGCAGAGTGCTTGCCTAGCCTGAACAAAGCCCTGTGCGGTCACTAGCACCACACAGTATAAAGCTGAGTATAATTCCAGCAGTTGGGAGGTTGAAGCAGGAGGATCAGAAGTTTAAGGAGTTCAAGGCCAGCCTGGACTACAGTAGCTCCTGTCTCACAAAATACAGACATAATGTAAAAATTGGACTCTGAGTGAGTGATTGGTACATTGCTGCAATTTCATTGACTATACAATATTTTATTTCAGCGTTCGGGGAAGGTTTGCCTTTTTCTCCCCTTTGGATTATAAGCTATGTCAATGTGAAGCCCGGATGGCCCTCAATTGCATGCTATGTGTCAATATGCCAAGAAAGCCACGCAATATCTTCCCCCACCCCCACTTTTTTTCCCTTCTCCATACAGGGTCTCTCTATGTAGCTCTGGCTGGCCTGGAACTATCTATGTTGACCAGGTTGGATTCAAACCCACAGGGATCTCCCTCCCTGCCTTTACCTCTGAGTGTTGTGATTAAAGATGCATGCCACTGTGCCTAACCACCACATTTTTAAACAAAATCAGAAAGACTGAAGTTTGAGGGGAGGTTATCTGTGTAGCATGCTTAAGAACTCCAGCAGCAGGGCTTGCTCTGTCTGGCTCATGCCCTGTGGTGGTTTAAATGAAAATGTCCCCCATAGACTCATAAGAAGTGGCACCATGAAGAGAGTCATGGAAGTCACTCCAACTCCTGAAAAATCAAACCAAGAAAATCCTTGTTCTTTCCCTTCTTGCCCCCTGCCTCTTCCATCCAAAAATGCCCAGAAACAAAACCCTTACGTTATGTCTCTGTCATTTTTTTCCTATTGCCCAAATGTTCCCATTTTCCTGCTCAGAATTCTTCAGGCATTTGCCACTATGATCATGGCTCATGGCTCTATGCCTCGGTATGACGCCTGCATAGCCACACAGGACCCACATTCAGAATGACTTGAACTAAGTTTGACTCTGCTGTCACCATCTCAATTGTCTTAATAATTTCAAACAGCGAGTCTCAAATTTTCATTGTACAGCAGATCTTGCAAATAGCAGAGCTTTCCCAACTCCATTCTGCCAATTATGAAAAATACTAGCGGACAACAGGGAGCTGGGGCAACTCTTCCCCATGGCTGTGGACGCTGGCTTCATTCTTCTCCACTAATTTCCCTAGAGAACTGATCGGGTGGCTTTGGTTTCCTTAACCCACAGCTCTCGTCTCTCTCCTTCTGGGAACAAGAGGGGTGAATGTTGTAGACACATGTACGTTATTGTTTTATCCTGTGGGCATTAATGTGCTAATGATCTCTGTATCTCTGTATGTTTATCTTCACAGAGAAGGAATCCTCTTTTTTTTTTTTTTTTTTCAATTTTTTGAGGCAGAGTCTCACTGTGTAACTTTGGCTGGCCTGGAACTCAGTCTCTGTAGATAGGTGAGGTTAGCTTAGAAATCCATCTGCTTCAACCTTCCAAGTCCTGGGATTAAAGGCATGCCCCTACCATGCCCAGCCTGAGAATTTGTTTTGGGCTGGGTTCTGTTGTTGTTGTTGTTATTTTTAAGATATTTCTTTTCCTTTTAAAATTATTTTATTTCAGGTGTGTGGATGTTTTGCCTGTATGAATGTCTGTGCATTATGTATGCCCACAGAGAACCAGAAGGTGTTGGCCACTCTCGAACTGGAGTTACAGACAGTTGTGAGCTGCCATATGAGTGCTGGGACTTGAACCTGGATCCTCTGGAAGAGTAGCCAATGCATTACAGCAAACAAGAATAAATAGAACTCAAACCTAAGCATATAAGTGCATACCTTTAATCCTAGCATTCAAGAAGCAAAGGCAGGTGGCTCTCTTGAGTTTGAGGCCAGCCTGGTCTACAAAGCCAGTTCCAGGACAGCTGGGACTATACAGACAAACTCTGTCTAAAGCAATCAAAGAAAAAAGAGAACTTTTCCTCTTCTTTCATAGTCAGGAATGACCATATAATAAAGTTCTGGCAAGCCTGTTTCCTGCACACAGAGTTTTGTTAAATAAAAATTCCAGGAAAACATTGCCTTGGATTGAACTTTATACTAGATTGGAACAGACCAGGGTAGAAGTTAGGATGGGAATAGTGTTAGAGCGTTTGCCTAGCATGTGCAAGGCCCTGGATTTGGCTGTAACTATGAGTCCTATCATGACATGTGTTACCAGGTAAATTGACTTCCTTTAGGGTTATAAGTCTCATTAATAAAAAGATTGAAGAACAGACACAGACAAAAAAAAAAAAAAAAAAAAAAAAAAAAAGCCCCAGGACAACTTTAGAGTATTAAAAACAACAATCAAAACAAAACAAAAAACCTTCAAAGCAGGCAAGCTGTAACTTTTAGCAGCTGCCTGGAGAAGAGAGACAGAGTTAAGCACAGAGGTTCATGGAGTAAGTAGCCACATGGCTTCAGAGAAATAGTGGAAAAGCTCAAAGTACCAGAGAAAGCATATTGGCCTCTGACCAGCATCAAAATGAAAAAGAAAGAAAAGAAGAAAATGTGAAATGTATGCCATTTTCATGGGGCCATCTTAAAACATCCTGGTGCTGGCCCTGTAGTAACTGCACAGAAGGTTGGAATTCTGTGAAAGGAAAATACAGTGTCTCCCTAAAGGAATGATTGTCCCCCCCCCCATTTCCTTATTGAGTATTAGAAAAATCTGCTTTCCAGAAGAATGATCTTTTAGCCAAGTGACTGATAGACCCAACTGGGTAACACTTGTGTTTTAGGAATCCGGAAATATTAGATCTCCACCCAGGCCAGCAGTAGATTCCATTCCCCCAACTTAGCCCTGATCATAGCAACAGCAACATTATCTCCAGTATAACAAACAAATCAAGCACAATCAAAAGTAGAGTCATTCACATCAACTTGCCCTACACTAAAACCAAACTGTTTAATCAGGTGTCCAAAGGATAAGTAAGATAATAGCTCTCTGCCTCAATGCTCACACACAAGAAAAAGGGTAAACTGAAATAAGTAACATTAACCAATCCATGAGTTTTCTATTGTTCTGTCAACACCAAGTTTGAGATGATTTGCTTTGGGTTCTTCTAATAGGAATTAGGAATAAAATAACTGTTATAGCTAGCTAGTGAGTCAGGGTTATACGCCCTAGGAAAGCAAAAATATCTACATATCCTGGCAACTTCTAAGAACACTGAAGTTATACAATGAAATCTGCACAAGCAGGAAACTCTGGAGCTAAAATCCACAAAGGCCTTGACTCAGCAAGATGTCAGCTAACCACCAGCATCCTTCTTCCCACTTCCTGGCTCTTCTTCCCACCAACAAACTTTTTTTGTTAGGGCATTTTCTTTGGCCGTTTTTTTTCTGCGTTTGCTTTCTTCCACCTGGTTCTCAACCAATCAGAATACTCACTCCACCACCACCATGCATTCAAAATGGCTGCTAGGGCTCATCCACACTCCTTGCTTGATCAAACCAAAATATAAAAGAGCCAGTGGTCCAAAATGCCACTCTTTTCCAGGCTCTGCCTGGCTGCAAGAGTTTTCTTTACTTTTCCACGCTTCAATTACTTCCTCTCCTATTATGGTTATTCTTCAAGATTGTTAGACAATGAACTTAGATCCAATGCAGGAAACCAGGAGCCAATCTACTTTTCCTTCCCTGCCACCCTTCCCTCTCTCCGTTCCTCCCTCCCTCCCTCCCTCCCTCCCTCCCTCCCTCCCTCCCTCCCTCCCTCCCTCCCACCTTCCCTCTAGTGTTTTTAGGAGTAACTCCACTATCCTTTAGCGCCTGTGATCTTCCTGCTTCTACCTCCTTTCTTGTCTGATTTCTCCTTTCCTTCTCCTCCACTTTTCCTTCTTTTCTGTTTTGTTTTTGTGTGTCTTCCTACCCGCCCCCTTAATTTGAGGGGGATCTGGAACTGACAGTTCTCTTGCTTCAGCCTCCTGAGTGCTGGATTAAACATGTCCCTGGCTTATTTCTTTTTCATTTAGCCCTTTTTCTGTCTGTCATCACAAAGCCAATTTTGGCTCAGATTGCTTGTGTAGATTTTGGGAGGCATCTCTAAATTTAGAGGAGATGGGTTTAGGAGAATAGTGAAGCTACTGCTTCATCCTACCTTGAGGCTGCTATATGTTAGTAATCTAGCTGATTAGGGAAGGTTCAAGATAGGCTATAAGGCATGGCTGTTTCCCTTTTCAATTTGGTATTTTGTTTGTGTTGTTTGTTGTTTGTTACATTTGGATTTCTTCTATAGTCCAGTAGGACTCAAATTGACTATATGTGGTTAAGGTAATCTTGAATTTCTCATCCCCCTGCTTCCATCTTTTAATGCTCAGGTTATATAGTTCTGGGGCTAGAGTCTTGGACCTCTAACATGCTAGGCAACTACTACCAACCAAGCTACACCCCAACCTTTGGGGTTATTTTTTTGAGATATGGTCTTACTGTGTAGCCTTTGCTGGCCTGGAA